AATAGTAATAATACTATTATTGATAATTTCGTTTGGTGTTGATCATCAATGTACTTTTGCCACATCCATCTAAATTCTACCTTTAGAATATAAAAATACAAATTAAGATCTCACCCCACTTCGACCGCCATATATCAATCAAAATCTCATGACCAATAACCATAGCTTGAATCTCATCATTCTTAAAACCGCATCAAGACATCCGCTGATGACTATATTTTAGGAATCGAAACCAGCTATAATTTTCTCCTGGTCAATTTTCCATTTTTTAGTGTTTAATGGGCTATGGGGGGGGGGGGGGGGGTTGCCACTGAAAGTTGAAACAAAGTGCTCTTGCATGAATGTTGCTATGCAGAACTATTTTTAATGTCAGCGTAACTGTATCGGTATTTTTAATGTATTGTTTTAGACTGTTACCATCCGACTGAACTACCTACGTATGGTCTTATGGTTTTGGATTGTGCTACTGAATAATTTCTCGTGAGCAGCGAGTGTGTCGTTTGCGTTAGAATATTTCTTGGGATATTGGAGTGTGTTTTCTTATACCCTTTTGCATTCATTCGGCTTCGCTTCTTAAAAGAGAGCTTCGTGTTATAACCAGACTCTTGGTTGTACTTATTCATGTTTCTTTTACTCTTCTCCACCCTTTGAAAACTATAGATACAATTTTCAACAGAGTAAATGCAACTCTTCTTTATTGCAAAATGTCAAATATCTACTCATTCGCAATCTTCCACTGTGAGGATTCTCCATGTTCTCTAAAGATTAACACAGTTGGAGATCCCTTGTGTTGCTCTATACACGTGCGACGTGTGATACAAGCGAGGGGGATTTAGTAGATTGAATTAAAGATATAAGTCTACCAGGCAGTCAACAAAGACTCATCCCCACCCATTGTCTTAGTATGCTCATTAGAGGCGCTATAAATTGGCGTATAATTGTACACATTCCACTCATAACTCCTCCTTAGTGTAGCAAAAGACAAAATGATCTGTGAATAGAGGGCTTAGTGGCAACATTATGAGGTGAGCGACAAATTGGGAGAGAGAGTAAATAACAATTATTGCTCTTGGTGATTAACCTTCTCGTAGGATCAATCAACAAGCCAAGTTGAAACAATATTTCATAAGCATTGTGTATTCTCTATTGGGCGAAAGAGAATGGAGCATTGTACTGTAATGTCGCAGAATTTTAGAGAAATGTTTTTATTGAATTTTGGTGAAAAACACAATTTTTGTAACCTCGGTCGCTATGGCAACTGAAATAATTTAAATGATTTTTTAAGAAAATTTGAATAAAATATCTAAAGTGATGTCATATACTAATCAAAGAAATAACATTTGAACAGTTTCGTATGAGTCTCAAAAATCTCCTTAAAGCTAATATTATAGTAACTGGTCGAAATGCAATTTTCAATCTAATTTTGATCTTGGCGTATTTGTTACCCGTCCATGCACTATATATCAAGTTCATGTAAAGTATGAGGCCAGGGAATATTGTACGTCTGAGAGTCCAAGCTTAAGCCACTGTTCTCATCCTTATGATGGTACTGTAGATATTTTCCCACGTCGTATCAGGCATGGGCGTTGAACTTACTACGGTAGATTAAATAAAAGAAAAATAAACTAATAACATAATAACACAAGAAAGGAAGGAAATATCAGTGACGGCTAATATAAAAAATATGTTCACTAGAAACTATACAAGGGGAAGTTGTTTTAGAAAAGGAAACTATCTAAATTAAAAAAGAACAAGTCTTTTCTTCTCTTCATACAATTTCAAAAGATCACTTGAAGTTGAAGTCAAACGGCCTGGGGGTCTTATTTTAATTGAAAGTATATTCCTTTTTATTCCTCGACTACAAACCAGAGCCCCGATCACTCAGTCGTGTATCGTTTTGTTTTGTCGATCAAACTTTAAAATTAGTAAGGTAAATATATATCTAAGTTTGGGTGGCATTGTCACCGGCATGTGTCCGTGAAGCTATTATTTTATCATTTAAAGTAGATACAATAACCATACGATTAACCATAACAAACTCTGTCAATAGTTTATTTAAAGCATAATAGTGAAAGACAAGAGATGCTGAAGAGGTTGAAGACGTCCTGTACTCCAATTCTCAACCTCGCTGCTCTGATTTCTTGCATTTTCTCAACAGTTCGCATAAAATGAATTATTCTCTTGGGTTTCTATGTACAATTGAAATGTGGTCCTCAAGCTTCTTTAATTTAACCTCGGTTTATTCTGCAGTTTTTCACTTTGTTTTGTAATGCAGCGCAGGTTTTGGGTTGACTTTAACTCGCGGGTTGATACATTAAAGCTTCAGCGAAGCTTAAACACAACACTGCATCACGGCAATGATAATATCTCAGGGTTGTAAAATACTTCATTAATTTATCAAATGGTATAAAAATAAGCGTCTAGTTTTGACAATTTGAAAGAAAGCCATAATGAGTGTTTTTAATGAAAATATTTAAGGAGAATGAAGACGTTTATCGTACTCTAAATGTACATTCATGGCTCACGTTTCCATAGTGTAACTGACTAGCAATGAAAGTACTTAGGTTTGAAATGTCGGTACGTCGATTACAATGCCCAGACGGGTTGTCAGTCACATATGGCTAAAATATTTTTTGTATGTCATACACACAGTTGAAAGTGCGTTTCTAACACTGATGCAAGCTTTTCATTGATCATGTTTTATTTTCCTCCGTAACTTTCTTTATTACAGATAAGGTCGCCTTTGTTTTTATACGCAGACATTGTTTCAACCAATCTAACAAAAGTATTGGAAGTGTCTGATAAATTCAATAAAAAAGTTTGAGTTACTAAATGCTAAAGTTAGAATCTTGCTTTCCCAGTGAATTTGGGAGGCAATAGTCAATTAAGTCACTTTTCGTCTCTTCTAAAAACGCATGTAATTCAAATAACAAACTCGAAGAGATTTACAATTTGATCGAATTTCTTAGAATGTTTGCTTAGAGACAAAACATTTTGTTATTAAAGAGTCCATTCGATTTGTAACCATTTTCATTTAGTTAACCAAACAGGCGATTTCGATTCAGATGGTCACGTTTCTACATAAACCTAAACTTGTTTCAGGAGGGGACGAGCTCGATACTTTTTAGTGATAGCACGCGCCTAGAAGTGCCAATGTATGTCTTAATCGAATAAACGTTTTAACTTAGAAAAGCCAAAATGAGACTTCATTATCCAAATACATAAACACCAGAAATACTAATTACTTTTTCAAATTGATCTAGGGCTGACAAACAGATGGAATATACATTCCTTCTTTATTCTGACACCAGGAATTTTATATGTTTCACTACTCTCTTTTTATTTGCAGTATTAGCACCACTTCATCAATGATGTACGTGTAGTTAACATCTCGTCGTTAATCGATCGTTATACCATCTATCGAAGTCTGAGAGCGACACAACACATTTGAACTACATACAGGGACACTCACCTCCGATTAATGGAAACCATGATTTCTCAATTTTTGTTAGACAACACGTGTTCCCTGATTACACTCCCCTCCATAAGTTTGGCAACCTTTTTCCCCCATTGAGCTACGTGTTAAAGCCTCTTTACGTTTGAATTTTTATTTACATAACCGGCGATGAAATAACTATTATATAACTATTATATTAATGGAAACGTAACTTGACTTTATTTCCAAAACCTCCAAATTTCCTCAATTTTTTCCTCAATTACAATAGGTCGAAAATTGATGATAAATTTGATGAACTTTTGAAAATCGTCATTCCCATGTAATCCAATGGGAAATGAAGGGTTCGGGGCAAATCAGAAATCAGGATATCTTTTCAGTAAAAGATTCAGCAAAAAATATTTTTATATAGAAAATTGAATTGTCTAACTTTTTTGAACACTAAGTGTGTAGTTTATTTGATGAATATTAAAGTTACAGCGCTTCAAAGTCATTTTTGAAAATCATTTTTTGCCTCCTGTGTTATTTCAATGGGAGAGGTTTTTTGAAAAACAATTTTGACTTTAAAGCCCTATAACTTTGTTTAACCTGAAGAAACATATCAATTTTTTGTTAAATAAAGTTAGCAAATTCAATTGCCTGCCTAACTCGTATTTTTTGCAAGGACTCGGATGGTTGGATATTCTGTCATATGACGTGCGGCAAACCTACCATTTCCCATTGGTTAACATGCGAATGTCGATTTTCAAAAATTCATCAAATTTATCATCAATTTTGGACTTATTGTAATTGAGGAAAAAAATTGAGAAAATTTGGAGGTATTGGAATTAAAGTCAAATTACGTTTCCATCAATAGTATAAGTATTTTCATCGCAGGTTAAGTAAATAAAAATTCAAAGGTAAAGAGGCTTTAACACGTAGTTCAATGGGGGGAAAAAGGTTGCCAAACTTATGGAGGGGAGTGTATGTTTCATTTTTAAGTTACACCACAAATGGTGCTATATTTGTTATAGTCTCCAACTTTTTGTGTCGTCGGCGGACTGTCTCGGCGTTTTGCGTCCGTAACAAAAGTCACAAATGGCAGGTGATAACAAGTTGCATCTTTATGCTTTTTATACTTTGATAAGTATTTACATTTTAATGCCTTGTTCGACCTGCAAAACACGTTATAGAAATATCTAGAAGGTAATAAAATATCACTCACGTTTTCTCGAAACTATTATGAACATGCTACACTGGTGTTGGATTCGATTCCCATCAAGAACTTAAGGCGGAGTAATTTTTTTCATTTAGCATAGACTTTGAACCTGTTTTTAAAATTATCATCATCATCATCATCATCATCATCATCATCATCATCATCATCATCATCATCATCATCAACATCATCATCATCATTCCCATGCAACAGAAACACGAGAAAGTCGATGCTCCCTTCAAAAATGCGTAATGATAATATTCTCCTCTCAATGTTGCCATTGTAGCTCACACTATTTACCATTGTGAGTCATCCAAGAATTTTAATGATATTTGTAACCATGGTAATGTCCAAATGGTGATGTCAACAAATGCCAAATCAGTGATTGGCTTTGGTGAAGATAATAACGACGTCTTACACGAAGGTATGATTAACAAAAGAATAAATGGAATCGCCCCAAAGATCTTTTTAAAACGTGTGTATGATGGGAGCGGGTCACATTACATAACTTAGTACGACAGACCGTCACACTTTGTCATACAAGTCAAGAAGAAACTTGGATGTATACGATAATCGTGTGGTTTTAAAAGCTTTTTTATTTGTTCTTTGATAATCTACGACATGATAAGGGTTGACGAACAGATTCATTGATTTGGATTCATTAAACCTTCGACAAAGCTTAAATACACTACAATGGGAATATTTTTGTTGTTTAATCCTTTTTCATCAATTCATCAAATGGTTTGAAAATAAGAGTCTACTGTTTGCAATTTGAAAAAAGCCCGAAAAAATGTTTTGGTGCGATTATTTGATTTTTCTTATAATGTTAAGCCCAATATACACCAATGGAGCAAAATCCCACTTGCCCCATCGAGTCGCACCTTGTCCTATCGAATCCCATGGAGCCCTATGGGGCCTCATAAACTTAAATCGACACCCACCAAAAGCCCCATCGAGTCCCACGGAAATGATTTAATATAGTTTAGAAGGTTTTGCCGCGGCCATTTTGATCCAAGTCAATTGAACGTCACACGATCAAAAGTCCAACGATGCCCCATGGAAAGAATGAACATTTCCAGCGTGGGACCTCATGGGACTCGATGGGGTAAGATGGGGCAAAGTCCGATGGTGTCCCATGGAGTCCATGGAGTACAATCCCATGATATCCCACGAGGTCCTACGCAATGTTAAGTCTATGGAGGTTTCCCATTTGTGTATATTGAGCTTTAATGAAAATATCCTAATGATCTTGCTTGTACAGGGTGGGCCAAAAAAACGCCACTTTTTTTCAAGACACTATAACTTTTTTATTTTCCAACCTACATACCCCAAATTTTGCAGTTATATAGTGCCAAGGGTTCTTAGTAATAATATAATGTAACGAGTCCTTCAACTGGGATTATATTTGATCTAAAAAGAGGAGTTCAATTGGTCCGCCACCCCATTTGATGATAGGTTTTAGTTTTAGTCGCCTTGCTGATGTAGCAGTATCAATGAAATGTTAGCTATATTTTTTTCAATGTGTCTTAATTGCCAGCTTTAGTGAAGCAATTATTTAGATCGGGTGCCTTCATACCATCTCCTGGAGACCTCCCCATGCCCTATACTCACTTGGGTTTGAATAAAGGCTATTAGCTTGCGGTCATCAGGGCGTATCAGTTTAGGAACATTATGCAAATTATGCTTATTTCTCATGGCACACCACATGTTTAAGTGAGACGCTGGTGACATATTTTATTCAAGTAAAAGTGTATAATTCATGATCAGTGGCTAGATAACAACCTCAAGTTTCATTTGGTATGTGAATTATGATTTTGTATCAAAAATTAAAAAAGTTATAGCATTTTGAAAAAAAGTGGCGTTTTTTTGGCCCACCCTGTATAATGTTATTATGAAAACAATTTAATAAAAATATTTTATGGAGAAAACCTATGGATGAAGTCATAATGGCGCTTATCTTCGACTTGCAAAGTACTTGGGATGCAGAAGTAGGATGTGTAGGGGGTCACATGGCTTAATGCAAGACTTAACACGTAACAACATTGACAGTGTAACTTATTGGCATGCATTCAGTTAAAACCAGTTGAATCAAACACACAAAATGATTATTAAACTCCTCGTCCTGTCTCTTTATCTAGGATAACAGCGATTGCTAAGGATGTCCTCTTAAACCCAACAAGGCACCGATGAAGTCATGAAAAGATGAAAGAAATCGGTGGATTGATTAGCGTTAGGATCATTCAATGCATGTGGCAATGCACGCGTCGTCAGTGTTATATATCATATGAGCTCCTTGTAAAACCACACAATTTATCTGTGTATATGTGTGGCGGCCCTGGTTTTATAAATTAGAACTGACCAGGCAATTCATTTTTAGCAAAATGAATTGTTAGTGTTTAAGACCATATGACTACTTTCTTTATTTCGCATGCCCATTTGCTTTATCGATTCAAAGAAGCTCTCCAAATGTAACACATGTTATATGTCAAGAGCTAAAAATGTTTGGGGATTAGTTTTTTGACAACAAAGTGCCAATTGAAGGTACCAGTATTGATTGATAAACGAGACCAAAATGACAATGAAATGCAAATTCGCAACATCATATTTCTCTATCAACTGATTGACATGATTCTTTTTAATTCAAAATAGCAAAAGTAATTAAGAAATTGCCAATTCTAAGACTTAATCCTCTTTTAAGAAGTGAAGTCGAATGAATGGATAGGATTGGTTTGCGTTACGAACATATTGTCTCAGGAAATAAAGATGGATCATGCATACATGATGTGCATATGAATGTACGAGGGGTGATAATTAAATAGACACAATAAATGTCTCTTTCTCCGACATTACTGCATACCCTTTTTAACACGTACATCTTATTCAACTAACATATTTCGGCTAGTATCTCCAAAAATGATGAGAAAACGTGATAATAATTAAAGTTATAAATAAACTATATGAACAAAGAAATCAAAGGGCCTCCTAGTATAAGATAACCCATCAGGTAGTATATATAAAAGGATGCGCGATTCCGCACCAGACTATTGAAGAAGGAAACATAAACACCATGAAGGACTTGTCATCTAGCTTTCAAACCTCTGCCGCAGTTGATTTTACATATATTGGTGTCTCAAAAACAAACATTAACAACAATAATGTATATGATGCAACATTTGTAAATAATGCTTTTAACACGTTCGGTGATTTTCCAGAAAATCGAGAAAAATCAGGAAATTGCTTTGATCAAGACAAATGTGACCCTAATGCAAACGTCAAGGATGATTCGAAATTGGAAAAGGAAGAACTTGAACTTCAGCTAAGGGCTGATGAACAAGAGAATGCAAGAATTTTAAAATACAAAATAGGAAAAACAGCATTTTTAATTGTGTGTTGGATAATTAATGTAAGTATCGTCATTTACCATGTAAGATTGTTGACCACTCTTGAAGTCAATTGTTTTAAAAATTGTTTACGTACACATTGAATCGTCAACACAATCCATTAGCGATTAACTTTACTGGCGGTCGAGAGTATAGTGTAGCGGTCAACAGTCAATATAAATAGTATTGATTTTTTAATGAACCAATCAAGCATTTAAAGTATTAAGAATGTTGTTTTTATATATGATCCGATATGTTAACTTCACCTTCCGGGTTACAAAGGATTGCGAAACTGATTACCTTTTACCCTTGTATTTTCAGATGTTAGTTCGACCTTTGTAATCATTGGTTGCTCATAATAAATCATTGTATTATCATAAGTTCCTTTATATTTGCAGGGTTTACTTTTGGCTATACGTTTCCCTACACTACCAGACCTAAGGGAAAGGGTTGACGTGCCATATGATGAGTTCTCCCCTGCATTGACAAGTAGACATATTGGATGGATCATAGGGTGTTTAATAGGAGGTAAACGTTTTTCCTAGTTTGTTATGTCAAAACCAGAAGTGGTGACATATTGTTATAGTCTTCATTCTTGTGATGGCGGTTTGTGTTCGGCGCCTGTAACAAATGCCAGGAGTCAATATTTTTCATGTTTCCAATTGTCTCTCTCTCTCTCTATCTACCACGAGGTGAACTCTTCAGATGAATAAAACAAACATGCATCTTTCTATACAATTTTGTCATTAGCGTACACGTTTTTGAAATCGCAAATGAATTGCAAATTCTCATTAATGAACGACCCCCTCTCTTCAGTGAACAAGTTTTCTCAATTGCCCTCCAATATTATATATTCTTGATGTTATTGACTATATTAGCAGCCATCCACTGCTGTTGTCTCATAAAACTCAACTGCGTTTGACATTTAAATGATGCATCGACAAACCTTTTAGGGTTCTGTTTCGATCGTTTCCAAAAGGGATGGGATCTCCAACTTGCGATAGGATTTCTAGTACAAGCAGTTGCGGTAGGTGTGAAGCCACTCTCTAGGACAGTCTTCACTATGGCATTGTGTTTCTTCGGAGAAGGATTGGCTCATGGAATCCATGGATTGGGTATGTATATGAAATGCCAAGTCAACATGATTCCTTCTAGAAATACAGATCATTTTCTTATTTAGATGAGTTGTACAACACCTTCTCATGTACAGTGTAAGCAAAAAATGTAACTGAAACAAATGTATGAATGACCTGAGACTAATATACTCAGTCTCAGGAATGACTGAGTTCTTAACAGTTGTTTGGGTTACCCTTTTTGGCCCACCCTGTACGAGATAGTATACTCTGGATGCTTTGTTTCAGACATTCAGTCAACTAATTGCTATATGCAGAACCTAGAACATTGATTTTCTGTGCTAGCGTCTGTCCAGTAACACGAATTACACTGCACAATTCTTAATGTTTCAGTTGGCAACGCCATGTGTTTAGCTCTATGGGGACACAAAGCACCTCCTCTTATTCTGGCCATGAGTTTCGGATTCAGAGGAGGACAGTTTCTGGCCCCAATCCTTGCATATCCTTTCCTTGGACTCAGGAATGCTACAACGGCAACAATTGGTGATATCAATGCAACGAACGGTAATTACTCAACAAGCGTTCGACAGTTCAGCTCTGACATCGAAATCCCTCATCTTATCGTCGGCGTCGTTGGAGCTGTTTGTGCTATTGGATTTCTTATCTTCTTTATTTGTCCGAAGCCGGAAAAACTTGTCTTGTCAAACCGTCCAAAGAGTAGTAAGCCTTTGGAGTTCTTATCTCCGGCCTCATGTACCGGGGGAAGTATGGGCGCCGGTATATTATTCACGTTCACATTCTTTCTCTATTACGTACTGATGCTCGTCACGGGGACTTCCTTTGCGACCTATCAAGCCCCCGTAACTCAAGACACTCTTGGGTTAACCAAACCAGATTCTGCATTGATGAGTACGTTACAAAAGGGATGTGGTTTAGCCAGTATGCTTATCTTCACACCAATTACAAGATGCGCACCTATAGTTGCTCTCGTTTATATCGTCCATCATGGTGTTCTTGCCATTAACATCTACGCTCTTATTTACGGCATCGAGAGCGTTCAGGCATTTGCCGTTTCGAGCTGCGTATACGATGTATTCTCCGCGCCCTATTTTGGAATTGGCCTCTCTTGGGCACAGCTGTACATGAACACTACTGGAGCAGCTATCATGTGCTTTAACATTGGAGTGGGTGTCGGTGGAATATTATCCGAGACGATCGGGGGATCGTTGCTGACCAATACAGGGGCAAAGGGTCTTCTCTGGATGAACCTCATTTGCTCTATAGTGTTCTGTGTACTTGTATATACAACCACCGTTATCATGAAGTGCTACGGTACAAAGGAGGAAAGACTGAGGAAAGCAGAAGAAAAATTCAAATCTGAAGATTCTCGAACATAGATAATCAACAGTTATATTTCTCAACTATGTACCATGGTATTTCAGTCATAGATCTAAAGTTATGTATTACTTGTAAATAGGAACAGAATAGATCGAATAACTTGTAAATAGAAACAATATAAACTTGTATTATGTATTGGAAGCATTACCTACAATAAAAAGCTGTACAAAAAAAAAAGTCAGTTGGATATGGTGATAAAAATATGCATCCTCTTTCTCAGATCAGTCTTAAAAAGAAGTAGGCCCTATCCAACCATAATTCTTTGGTCAGTCTTGAACAGCCATAAAAGTATCCACCTTTATATGACCCGTGTCAAACAGTATGTTAGATGTACAGAGTGTGCCAAAAAACGTACACCCTTTTCATCTTTCTTGGTCTCTAAGATAGGATGCCAATTGAATGAATTTCACTCCATTCGTCTTGGATACATCAAGACATCCAATTCAAGTTATTACCAACATCTTAGGTTATTCAATGCATATTTTGAGGTAATCTCTACTGAAATGGTCTGTGAGTTCCTGAATAATGATTCAATGAAGTTAAAAAACACAGATCATAAATACAGCAGCATTTATTGAATGCTGGGACATTTTCCAGAGTCAGGGTGGGCCAAAAAACGCCACTTTTTTTTCAAAATGCTATAACTTTTTTAATTTTTGATACAAAATCATAATTTGCATACCAAATGAAACTTGAGGTTGTTATCTAGCGACACTTTTACTTTCATAAAATATGTCACCAGCGTCTCACTTAAACATGTGGTGTGCCATGAGAAATATGCATAATTTGCAAAATGTTCCTGAACTGATACAGCCTGATGATCACCAAGCTAATAGCCCTGATGCAAACCCCAGTGAATATAGGGTATGGAAAGGTCTCCAGGAGATTGCATGAAGGCATCCAATCTAGAAAATTGCTCAACTAAAGCTTGCAATTAAGACAGGTTGAAAAAAACTTAGCTAACATTTCATTGATACTGCTATATCGGCAAGGCGACTAAAACTAAAATATATCATCAAATAGGGTGGCGAACCGATTGAACTCCTCTTTTAGATGAAATATAATCCAAGTTGAAGGACTTGTTACATTATATTATTACTAAGAACCCCTGGCACTATATAACTGCAAAATTTGGGGTATATAGGTTGGAAAATAAAAAAGTTATAGTGTCTTGAAAAAAAAGTGGCGTTTTTTTGGCCCACCCTGTATATACAAGCTTTTTCTTCTATACAAATAATGTACTTGATTAGTACTACTTATACATGTTATATGGCAAGGTTAAAACTCATCATTTTGAAACAGTAAGATTATTTCAAATATCTGGAATATACTAGTAACTTCAAATTATGCTGTCAAGAATTCGAGATCTTGGTGCCAAAAGTTGTTTGAAAATGTAAAATACAGGGGTGTCATAGCTAGCTGGCACATGCCCACTCCTATTTTTATTTTATATATACATTTCCAGGAAGGCCTTGGAAATAAAATAAACAAACATAGAACATTTTTTGTTTTCAAAAATCTATTTGCAAATCTGTCAATATCATCCAGTGATACATATTGCACATTTCATAGAAAAATACAAAGAATGTAGAAGTAATAACAATATAGCTGTGAAATAACATAACATTGGTTAAACTTTAGTTATACAACCTGAAGTAAAAGAAATACTATATGTCGATCATGATTGGAATCACTCATTTACTCACTTAAACATGGCCAGCCATTTATTAGTATATGTGTATTTGATAAGATCTTCGATTCATCAGTGTTCATAAATATATAGAAAATCTACGAATATTGGAGGATAAAATGACCAAAAGCTCAAGAGGTGGGACTAAAATTAAAATGCCCCCTTGATAAATGCCGACAAAAAGAATGAAAATAGGATAAAAAGTATAATTTCAATATGATTATGTACTTTATAGTTTAGATTTAGATATCAGTGTTAAAATTATATTTTACATGATTGATCAACTATACACTTGAGCAAAGAGTTTTAGTAAATTACATTCATATGTATCCATGAACAATTGAACACAGTATAGTACTACAGTGTATAGTTTACATAGTACAGTATATGGATGAAGTATTAAAATTCTAAATGTGCAGCAATATTGTAACGAGTATTGTGTAAATATTGCATAGATTAAAAATTTCACTGAAGCATGAAAGTTACACAAAGGTTTATGCAATTTAATTTATAATTATTGTGTCATTATTGGTGTTTTCTTTCAAGACACTGGTTCTTTAACATTCTCAAACATCTGAACCTTCCTTCTTGAACCAAAGTTGTATCATTCTAAACATACTTACAAAACAAAGATGTCACTAGTATCTACCAGTGAACTGAAAGTCAAAACTATCGTAAAACAATTTTCAAATCTATGAAAATCATATATGATCGAATTGTGAAGAAAAACAAATGGTCAAAACAATGTGAAGTTCTTCTTGAGTTAAGTGAGTGGTATATCGAGATATTGTGCATGGTCACACACTTAATCTGCAGTATTTGGACTGTAAAATATGAATCTTTGACCAGAACTCTCCTTTGAATTATCATTGTCAATACCCAACTTTGATTACAACAGGTGGAAATGGAGGTAACACAGTGTTTGATTTCCTTTTGGTCTCTATTTCTATTCCATCCTCAGATTTGCGTAGCTGGTTGCTTCCATTAATTGAAATTCCTATATCAGAGTTAGGAAGCCTGTGTGAGCTGATTGAAATCCCAATGCCTGAATTTGGATGTTGGTTAGTTCCTATTGATATTCCAACATCTGACTTGTGTTGTCTGTTGGTTCCTATGGTGATGGCACCAACATCACAGTTACATTGTCTAGCTGTAGAGAGGACATTATGAAGGAACCCCTGCCTGCTTGTTGTCCCCTGGAAAAAATAGTCAGAAATCATTTTGAAATCATATTGATTACAATTGTATGTACAACACAATCTCATAAATATTGTGCATTTATTAAGTCAATTTAGTGCAATCTACACTATAATACAGTAGCCCTCTGGATATTTGCGATAATATCTGCGTCTCATAATATTTCGACCTGTGCTTAGCAATCAAATGAACCCCCATAATTTGCTCTTTTTAAAATTGTTCTACCAAAACGTGCATTACATTCAAGTTTAATTCATCATTAAACTAATTTGCAAATATTTTTTCAATGTTCCAAATGTTTTGATACAGATACAAAGAACCACCTATACTGAAGACCTTAACTAAAGAATAGCCACTGAAGGTAGACAGATGGAAGATAATAAAGACAGGGGGAAGAGTAAGAGAATACAAAGGGAATATTGTACAGGTGTATACACTGTATGTGTATAGTGCCAAGATGAATGGACATGCAATTTTCATCTTTATAGTGCTCTTATTCTATAATGGGGTATAGTATCAAGATGGGCCAAATTAAAAATTCAGAATCCAAGTGCACCATGAAAAATCACACATGGCAGGATATCATTTCTAGATACTGTACAGTGTCAGCATGAATATCATAATGTAGCCATTCCAATGTTTAAAGAGAAGCATGCATTAAATCATCAATTGTGTAGGCCATTTTCATATTCCTGGAATGAGTGCGACAAAAATGTATTTAAGTACAGCATGCAAATCAAACTCGATGATAAAACTCGATTCTGAGTGACATATACTTGACAGTATACTCCAAGGGATGCATAGGATTCAAGAAAGCAATGCAGGGTCACATGCATATGGCTCAAGATGGCATGCATATATCTTAGTAACATTCTTATAAATTCAAGTGGCATGCATATATATCTTGGTAGCTACATGTAGCATAGGATTCAAGAAAGCATGCATATGTCTTAGTAAAATACATAATCAAGTGGCATGCATATACATATACTGTATCATAGTAGCATGCATAGGGTTCAAGTGGCATGCATATATTCCAATTTTTTTTACCTGACATGGTTAACTTAAATAATTTGTTAACAGTTGCCTTGTGGTTCAGATATCGAGAGATCTAAACAAAACATAATTTGTCATCAGGATGTATTTGAATACAATTCAAAACAAAAAGCCTTATGGATAAAATAAACAAGCATTAAATAATGGGCTGTATGAAAATGTGCATTTCATACTCAAATTAAAGTAGTGTGATGCGCGATAAATTATTTTTTAACATTAACCCCTAAACAAAACATATTAATCACATACAAAACAACAAAAAGTTATTTGATGGCCTCATGTCTGAAATTGATCAAAATTAAATATAAATTACAAAATCATAAATCAATTTAAAAAACAAAGCTTTGAAAGCCTATATATATATTTCAAATGTGACTTGACAAAATTTATACTATAATATACTCACTGATGTGTGAAGATGCATTTTCTTCTTCACTAAGTTATAATAGTCGCAATAGTGGTGATGTTGCTTGCGAACAAACTCATTGTTCATTCGTGATTCTTTTGGTGGGGGAGGGGGTAGTGGCGTGTCCCATTGGTATGCATCACAATCAGAATTAAAGTATTTGCCTTCAACACTTACGCCATCTTTTGGCTTGTTCTGAAGCTTAGGAAGGAAAACTGGTGGAAACGACTTGGAGGTTGCTGAGTGCCGATCCACTTGATCATTATATAAACTTCTTCCCTTGCTTGTACCACTGTGGATGCTGAAAGTTAATGCAATATTATAGCAAGCAAGCATAAAAAACATGCAAAATGCAAAATGTAACAACATGCAAAATGTAACTACCTGCCATTTGTTACAGACACTGACCACTGAACACAAACCACTGAACACTGTCCATAAAAAGTTGAAGACTATAACAATACTGTATGTCACAACTTTTGGTGGTGACATAATGAGATAAAATAAGTGATATTGAAATTGGAATCCAGTTGGCTTATATAACAATATGGTATTATAAAAAAATCCAATCTTATTAAACAAAAGTGAAAATGTGTAAAATTCAGTATGTGCCATGAGACAGCTCCTTACCTTGGTGGAGAGTGGACTTTCTGTACTTTGGGGAAGTTGGTAATCCTGTTGGAGCTATTGCCACTATTTGTTCCACTAGAGCTGCTTTGTCCAGTTGTCCACTTCATATTGAGAATACCATACTGTACATTGCCTTCGTCACTGAAAACAAAGCATACAAATGTGAGTACATTTTGCAGTAGTTACTAATTTTTCATAATTCTTTTGCCTATTACTGGTACACCGTACTATATTTACGAAAGTCATAATATTAACGACGACAGCTTGTCGAAAATCTTCTCTTGTATTGTGTACTTTTGTCATTCATATCAACTGATATTTGATTGAATTTCAAAGAAGAGTGCCTCTTACTTTTCAATTTACACAAAATATGTGATAAAATGTGTATGTTTTAAAGGTATGTTTTACTTACTCAAGCCTTGTGCTAACTCCAAGTTTGGCAGGCATTGGGTCCACATAATATGCCTTTTCATGTGCAGCAACATCCTAAAAATTGAAAATAATTCTACATTTCAAACTTCAAACAATTTTTATTGGATTTTGTTTTATGTTTTGGTGATCTGAAATATCATAGAATAGAATTTTACTTCAACTATACTGACAATATTGCCCTTTGTGTTTTTTCAAATACCTTATCTACTGCTACTGTGTGCAGGAGTCTAAGTCCACTCTCAGCTGGCAACTTTTCATCTGTTTCAGTCAAGTACTTGATAGGAGGCAGTGTCAGAGGATGTGTTCGACCCTCATCAAAATCCTTTTTCACTAGCGCCATCTTTCGATGTTCCTGAACTGCAGGGTGTTCAAAAAATTCCCTCCAATTTTCTGAAATGTTTTTTTTCATTCTTCAAATATATGGCAATATAACATATTGTAGAATATGGAGCGTTTAATGATGCGTTTTCAACTGAATTCTTAAAGTACTATATATTATCTATATATCATAAGTTGTCGATATGTTACACTATCAATTTCAAATCATATTTTGAGATTTTATTTCTCAATACCCATTTACCAGGAGGAGGTGACGTGTGTCCATCCATACCATTCACTGACTTAACAGTCGATAGTTGAGGTATACCCCTGTTGATCAATGATGTTTTATTGTAGCTAGGGTAACTTGATGAGACATCAGACATTTGCCCTATCCCAGAATCCTCCACACTGGCATCATCTTGGATCTTCAGTAAGTTCTAAAATGTTGCAATTTTACATACTGAGCTTGTGTTTTACTTAATCAATATACTGAAGGTGAGTCTATCCCAGCATTTACACGATATCATAAAACCCATGTTCCATTAACTTATACAAACATTTTGAAAGAGAATACACATGTTGTATTTCAATTTTCAAATCAGAATACATTGTGATGAGTCACTATAAATGAATAATTTGTTTCCCTTATTATAACTGCTTCATTACATCTTGTACTGAAATATATGTCACAATAACTGTATACTAGAAATGCATTATGGTACAGCTAAACTGACTCCAATCACATTGTCTCAATAACATAGCTACTAGCATCTTTTATTGATATTTTCAAAGAACTTTGAATGGGGTGTTTTATGATAAAATAAACTGCCATTAACAAGTACTGAGTATTGTAATAAAAAGTGTAGCCTTGAGAAAATATCAGATTCATCCATAATTAAATATTTTGCATTATTCTCTATTTCAAATGAACATTATACATGTACCTCAACATTTTATTAGCCCTGACAGACATAGGACTAATCTTTTGATTCGGCCTGTTTTTCAAAAAAATAATATAATATTTACAAATATGTGAAGTTGATTTCCCGTATATGCCCTTACAATAAACAATGAATTAATTCAGCTAATTACTATAGGAAAAAAATATATATGCATCTCCAGACCACATTCAGAGTTAATAGAGCACAGAGATAGCTTACCATATTATTTGAGAGGTCCCCAGATTTCTGACTTCCAATGCCAGCATCAGACTCTGTGTCAGTATTCTCCAACAATCTATTCTTCATTCTTTGGTTACCTTTGGGTACATTAGAAATAGTAAGTTGTCCTTGGGTATCAATCAACCCACCCTCGGAATCAATCAACCTTTCCTGGGAATCAATCAACATTCCCTGGGAATCAATCAACCTTCTTTGAGAATCAATCTTTCTCCCCTGTGAGTCTCTGAGGTTCTCTTTGGTGGTGACTTTTCCTGCAAGTTTAGCATGTGAATCAGAGGTACTGTTCATAGAGTCATTCAATACTGAGTTCTCTGAGATGCTAGATCCATTTGAGCTGTCATCATAATTATACAACCTTCCAGGTTCACTATAACTTCTTCCATTACTTAATCTATTGCCAGAGTCCCCAGCTAGGGTTCCATCATCTGGCTTAGACTTAACTATGTTACCTATAGAGTCACCTGTTCTGTCCAGTGTATCTAAGTTAGAGTCAAGGGAATTGTTTAACTGTTGAACTGTATTTGGTGGAGCAGGGAAACCTCTAGATTCACTGTCACTCTCAAATTCTCCAAATTCTGTGTTAACTGTTTTAGGGGGTGAGCTCAATGATCGTAAACGCCGTAGTTTTGGTGAGGAGTCAAGACTGTCTTTGGAGCTAATGACATCTTCATGTGTTCCCTGGTTCACTTCTTTCTTCTTGGAGTACAACTTGTGCATGGCTGGGTCATGTGGTAAGATCTTTTTCTTTGCTCTGGAGAATAAAATATCAATGTTAATCATCATATTAAAACTGGAATTATCTTTTGTGCATCTTTTTTAAATCTCGTTGAAGGAGTAAATGACTATTCTATTCACAATTTCCCCACTTTTTCTGATTCAAGGAAATTGCCTGACCAAATGCATGGTTGTCATTAAAAATCAGGTACAAGTGCCAAATTATAAAGTAATTATGACTGAATCTTTTTATATGAATTTTGATAAGTTATTTGTAATTTTTGGTCTCTTCCTTGAAATTCCCCACTTTTCAAATGGCTTAAATTCCCTGACCATTTTGGTCATTACCTACTCCCTGACCATGGCAACCATGTAAGACTTATGTCATAAAGGTAGCCGTGAAGAAAACATGCCACTAATGGGCCTCTAACTTAAATACAATGGCTTATGCTATGCAGTAACAGTACATATTGTAAATGCTAATCCGAAAGATGCTCTAAAATGCAATTTAAGTGGTTTAATGTCATTTGGGGGGGATACTAATCCCTAAAAGCAGAATCCCTCTTAGTGCATAATACCTTTTGACAGATGATCTGCTTGCTTCACTACCTGCCACACTGGCGTTGTCTTTGTCTGAATCTAGGTCAATGTTAACAAATTCTTGGGGTAACCTAAAACAGGGAAACGGATTTAACTAGATTAAATATCATAAATAATTTATTCAACTACACTACATGACATTACAGTGCTTATACAGTAAAACCTGTATGATCAAAATGTCACTAGGACTAGCAAATGTGTTCAGTTAGCAGGTGTTCACATTTCAAGGTTTTTTAATAAGAGAGTCAATGGGAGATAACAAATTTGGAACAGAGAAAAAGTGTTCACATTGATATGTTATTGGATTCTAGAAGTGTTTGGATATACAGGTTTTACTGCACTACACTATAAAATACACTACACTACATTACTAGCTTAACTAATTGGTTAATTGGAACACTTTACAATAAAGTAATGTATATTAGTTGTATTGCTATTCTTCTAGCTTATTAATATTTTTATTCAATTAATTTACCTTGTTGAATCAAAACAATTATCCAAGCTTAAGGTAGTTGACTTATAAGCATAAGTTAAGCAGTATATACTCATATTTTAAATCACGACTCACCTGACTTTCTGTAGTCTCGCAGCATTGGCTTTAGCTTGGTCTGATTTGTCTGGGTGTTCTTTCTTCATCCCGGGTCTACCAGGAGTAAATGAAGTAGTGCGACTGGAACCAAACTGTGCTTGTGTTGCATCAGTGGGTCCTGATTTACTATCATCAGCAGGGGTCTTTGAACTTCCTGTCTGAGTTCTTGGAGATGAAACAAGTCGAAGTGCTCCTGATTTTTGTCTGCCATCTATGAAGTTAAAATTAAATAAAATACTTTAATTAAATAAAAAACTTTAAATAAAATATGACAATAATTCAGTAAAATCAGGTTTTAAACTAGGTGCAACTACAGTACATACTGCTCTGAACTACAAACTTAAATAAAAAATATGAAATCAAAGTGGAAGAAATGTGAACAAAATTTGAAGTCTTGGAGGATAATCTACCCCTGGACTAAATCCACATTATGTGCAGCAATATTTCTATTATCAAATTACTAATTCAAGTGCCTAACACTTTTAAAACTAAATGAAATTATACATATTAAATACATGCCACATTTTACATTGTACAACCTACAATATTAACCCAACTAAAACTAAGCTGCTACTGCAGTTTGAACGACATGCTAAATTCTAGAATATAGATCAAGCTAGATAAGCAATTTAAACATGCAAAAAGAGAAAAATTGAAGCATATACATTAACTACATTTAGGCTTCATCTCATTAGTTCCACACTGAATTCTACATTGTAATGACTTTTATGAAGTGGGTGTGTGGTAAAATAATGTTTTACTTGTCCTTGTATAACTAAAAGCTAAAAGGGGCAAACCATATTTTAGTGTAATGCTTTACATATAAATGGTAAGAAAAACAATTCACACTTTCAATTATGTGGTTTAGTTAACAAAGGTAGGTAAGTGGACTAGAAGATAATATTTACAGGTAGAATTTAGTGCGAAACTTTTGAGATGACATCTAAAAAGTGAACCATGAATGACTACATACACTCATCTACACGTGCAAATCAGCTACAGTGTGAACAAGCAAATAATAAGCTTTCATCTTGAATGTGCAATGTTAAGTATAGCCTACATAAAATCCATGCATATATCTCATAGAGAATATTTGATTCTTTTCCAGAGCTGTCTTGCCTGACTTAACATTGCATGAATTTTAACACATATGTGTTCATGGAATTTGTATTAATCTGAAACTCCCCAAAGCTCAGTGCAGTTTAGCTACAAGCCCTTGAGACCCCCTAATTAAACACTTCCCAGCAAGTGGCCATGGTGAAGTAGATTAGGGGGAGGGGGAGAGACTTGAAGCTCCCCAAAGCTCAGAGCAGTCTAGCTACAAGCCCTTGAGACCCCCTCACTAAACACTTCCCAACAAGTGGCCATGATGAAGTAGATTAGGGGGGAGGGGGAGAGACTTGAAGCTCCCCAAAGCTCAGTGCTTGGGACCCAGTGACAAAAAAGGTGATGTTAATTGTTATCTTGAATTTGTTAGAATAGAATAACGTGATGTGAATATATACCCCTTTTTGGCCTTTGAACTTTAGGAAGTATGAAAATAGGCCTGCTTTTCCTGATATTATGTCTCCTAAGAGCATAGTCAATGCTATGATCAACAATGGCTGTAAAGTTTAACATCAATTAAATAAAACACAAAAAGTTGAAGGTGTTTGGCATACTAGTGGTTTTTTCTAAATGTCTTTACACGTACACATAAAGGTCTTCAAATATATTGTTTCATATTAAATAATTTGGCTTGTATAACATCAAATCCCATTGTGTCATCTAAGGCAGCAGAATTTGATTTGTTGCAAGACTTAATCTGATTTTTTAACAACACAGCTCAGATCAATTGTGCAAAATTACAGTAATCAGAAAATAAAATGTGATGTTTAATTCTAGTTTGTACCAGTGTACCAACCATATATACAATAACAACACAGCAATATATCAAGGTTCAAACAACAAAAGACACACATTATAAGCTAAACAAACATTATTTTCACAAAGGGATTAGCACAAATACAGAATGCATTTAAGATCAAATTCATTTAACTAAATATTTGTACTTGTTTTACCTTGTAAGAGTCTTGTGTTTCTTTGTCTAGCCTTCTTCTTAACTGATGGTTTGGTTCTGGACCTCTGAGCATCTTTTAGTGTGGGATCATTAGCATCAGTCAGCTCCTAAGAAGCAACATACAATATATGAGTCAGGGTTTCAGTTTAAGGATTTAGGTTAGGTTGAAGTTTTGCTTTCGTAGTTTAACTATGGGTTTTCCTTCTTTAATTTTGTTACTTTAAATTCTGTAAATAAGTGCATTGTAGGATTACTTTTAACATTCAGATAACTTCCATGCTTCATCCACAAACTAAGATTTCAAATGAACAGCAGCTGGTGAATTGAATTGATAAAATCACTAGTTTCCATGGTAACTCATTGTATGTTGTATTTTACCTCCATTTCTGGATCATCACAACCAAATGATCCATCAGCATCCTGTAACCAGTTAAGCAACCAAGCTGGTTCCTCGACAGACTCAGTGAGTCTAAGCTGAGAAAGACGTTTCAGAACGGCATCCTATGGTGCACATTATATCAAAGAGTACAATATAAAATCAAACATAGTTATACAAAAGAGTGATTAGGGACTGTTTAAAAATATCAATGTTCAATTTTTCATAAAAATTAAAATGCAAGTTACACATTTCAATTTCAATGTTTTTCATCAAAAGTAAGCTTTTATTCCTTACGAACTAAAACACATTGATACTTTTGTCTTGACCCTTAGTTAAGTTAGAAAATAAGTGCCAAAAGTCATGCAGTGGTGAAAATTAAAACTTTGGAATGCAAGGGAAATTTTGCATCAAGATTCCATCGAAAGCCTTGCATCAAGATATTTGTACATTCTTCGATACTAGATATAGTGGGAGCAGTTAGGAAGTAATATACTCGACAGGTAATATACTGGGGATTTCTTAATACGGACCAGTTATGAAACCAGAACAACGGCAACGCCAAAGCGTAGCAAATCCCATCGAACAGAAATGGCTGGCATTTTTACAAACGAAATAAATAGCAAATATCATAAAACAACACACCAGAAAGGCCACCATTTTCAAAATGGTTAGCCAAGTTGTCATCAGAAGAAATAATATGCTTTTAGTAGCCACCTATAAAAATGGTGGCCATTTTTCAAAATGGCCGACTACTCCCCAAAGTTTTATTAGACAATGTGCCATGCTTAGAGTATTCACATATCAAATATGAACAAAATCGCTCCACTATTTTTCGAGTTATAGTAAAAAACTTAAAAATGGTGGTCATTTTTCAAAATGGCCGCCTACTACCCAAAGTGTCATTAGACAGTGTGCCATGCTTATAGTATTCACATATAAAATATGAAACATACCAAATATGAACAAAATCGCTGAACTACTTTTCAAGTTATAGTTAAATACGCGGGGCCATTTTTCAAAACATTTTTCAAAATGGCCACCTTCTACCAAAAGTGTCATTAGACAGTGTGCCATGCTTTTAGTATTCACATACCAAATATGAACAAAATCGCTCCACTACTTTTCGAGTTATAGTAAAATACGTTAAAATGGCCGCCATTTTTCAAAATGGCCACCTTCTACCAAAAGTGTCATTAGACAATGTGACATACTTATAGTATTCACATACCAAATATGAACAAAATTGCTTCACTACTTTTCGAGTTATAGTAAAATACATTAAAATGGCCGCCATTTTTCAAAATATTTTCAAAATGGCCGCCTTCTACCAAAAGTGTCATAGGACAGTGTGCCATGCTTATAGTATTCACATACCAAATATGAACAAAATTGCTTCCCTACTTTTCGAGTTATAGTAAAATACGTTAAAATGGCGGCCATTTTTCAAAATGGCCGCCTTCTCCCAAAAGTGTCATAGGACAGTGTGCCATGCTTATAGTATTCACATACCAAATATGAACAAAATTGCTCCACTACTTTTCGAGTTATAGTAAAAAAATATGTTAAAATAGCGGCCATTTTTCAAAAAAAAACTACTTTTCAAGTTATAGTAAAATACATTAAAATGGCCGCCATTTTTCAAAATATTTTCAAAATGGCCGCCTTCTACCAAAAGTGTCATAGGACAGTGTGCCATGCTTATAGTATTCACATACCAAATATGAACAAAATTGCTTCCCTACTTTTCGAGTTATAGTAAAATACGTTAAAATGGCGGCCATTTTTCAAAATGGCCGCCTTCTACCAAAAGTGTCATAGGACAGTGTGCCATGCTTATACTATTCACATACCAAATATGAACAAAATCGCTCCACTACTTTTCGAGTTATAGTAAAATACGTTAAAATGGCGGCCATTTTTCAAAATGGCCGCCTTCTACCAAAAGTGTCTTTAGACAGTGTGCAATGTTTATAGTATTCACATACCAAATATGAACAAAATCGCTCAACTACTTTTCGAGTTACAGCAAAAATCGTAAAATAACGAGTAAAGGCCGCCATTTTTCAAGATGGCTGCCATGTGCTTTTTTAATATCTACATTTGTAGCTTTATTAATGTCCTTTATAATTTTTTTACACTTAAAACATATTGCTATTACAGTTTTACATATTGTACCTAAATTACTGTAAAATCGGCACTAAAATGGCCACCATTTTGAAATGAGCGGCCATTTTGAAAATCGGCTTTCGAACAGAACTTCTACTCCTATAAGGTATATGTATACAAAATATGAACAAAATCGGGCCAACGGTATTTGAGTTATCGCCCGGACGGACGGACGGATGGACAGACGGACGGACGGACGGACGGACGTACGGACGTACGTACGGACAGACGGACGGACGGAGGCGTTCCCTATATCCCTCCGAACTTCGTTCGATGGGATAAATAATACTGTATTGAATACAACAGCACCAGGTAAAATACAAGTAGCCTGGATTTTATTTTAGGCTCTTAACACAAGACTTAGATGGAAGAATAATATACACACAAATTGAAAATTAATATAAAAAGAAATATTTTAAATATATTAATAAAAAAGTCCAATTTGAAGAATGTGAGACATGAGGGAACATGGTTGCAAAAGTTCTATAAAGAGTGAACAGAAAATAGATGTGTGTGTTATTGAAGATTAAAACTGGAATCAAATATGTAATTCAAAAGGCATCATAAACTACATAAAAAATTCAATGCATGCAGAACCACTGAATTCATTCTGACTTTCCATCTAAAATTCAACCGAAACACTTTGCCTTTACTTTAATTCATAAAATCAATGTAACCCAACAAAAGAAATTGATAAGTTTTAACCCCTACCCCCAAAGGAAAATGTGATATGGCATGCATTGATGTTTTAACGCAGTCCATTTAAAGAATCAGAAAACTGCAGCAAATATATTTCAGTATATTATGAACACATTTACCTCATCTGCCTTGCTTGAGAAGGGAGGGTTTACATCAGCATCTTGTAGCAAGTGAAGGAGGCTGTCTTTATCCTTTATACCAGTCAGCGTTTGTAGTGCCTGCAGCCCAGCTTTACTTATTTCCTCCTGTATATAAGAGAATGGAATATTTAAAGAATGATTGCATAGTTATGGTGAATAGATGTTAAAAGAATGGAATATTTAAAGAATGACTACATATGATAATAAATAGACATTTTGTGCTGATAAGTCTTATACCTGTATTTTACACACAATCATATAATGGAGGGAAAACATCATTCATATCCTATGGTTCAGTTATTTTGTCTGTAATTGTAGATAAAGAAAAGTTACATGTACTAATGTTACATATTTAACACTTCCTAGCCAGCCATCAAAAATTGAAAAACTGACAATTTTTGTTAATAGTCAATAAAATCATTCAAAATACTTCATCATTTTCTTAAGATTTACTTTTTAATGTATTAATCAATTGCATTTGTAAATGTTAAAACAATACATGAAGAACATCTAGAAAGAGAGAAATGTGTGTGTACGCATTCATGCACCCGCATTGAAACCAACGAAAAAAGGAATGGCTTCATTCCAGGCATGCAAATATTTCTTACACAGAACCCCAGATTTATGTAAGAAGTTCTCAATTTTGATCTGATAATATCAAAATTAAATATAAAAATGCATGACGTGCACCTAGTTTGCTTATGTTGACAGTAAATATACTAATATACTCATATAGCATGATTTGTGAAAACTTGTACACTAAATATCTAAAGGGTTGCAACAAATACATCAATAGCCTTTAATATGAGACCAGACATCTGAGCTACTGTAAAGTGTCAATCAAAGTATGGTGAGTCATACTGTTGCTACATTAACAAGAAATAAACATGCAAAATGTCACCACCTGCCATTAGTTACAGACACTGACTATCGAGTATCAACCGTCAAACACCAATACCAACTGCCAAACACTTAGTCCACAAAATAAGTTGTAGACTACAGTGTATAAAAATACAGTATGTCACCACTTGTGTGGTGACATAGTAAGGCTGTCATAGTATAGCCTGCCAAAAATGTAGCCATCCATAAAGGTCAGCCAATCAGAGTGCAGCCAGCTATAGTGAAGGTATTTGTCATAGTACATCCAGCCATAGTGTAACCAGCCATAGTATGGCCAAAAAGAAAGATGACCACTGACTCCTCAAAACCATGCATTTCAGAGATACAATAAAGCCCAATTCAGGCAAAATCCTAATTGTTAAAGCATCATTTCTATTCCAGTGAAAGTAATACATTTAAAGCATTGAGGTGATCATCCTGACAATGAGCATTACTATACCTTCTCCAACACTTCTTTACTTTTGACTTTCATATCTACAGACTTGCTATTCCCCAGTGGTGGAAGTGTCTTACGATTGGACCGAGAATATTTCTCATAGCCATGTTTTATTTCTGGTAATTTGGCTGGAGAATTTTTAATGTCCAGAGGGGGCAAAGGTTGTGGCTGATAAATTCAAGCATATTTGGTTAGAGGCTTAGTTTCTATCAATTACTTTGAATCACTGAGACATTGAAATGTGATTTCTCTGAAGAAATACACGTACAATGTACATGCATCAATTGTAGCATTAAAAAATAAATATCTCCTTATTTCAAATGTTACCAATATAAAATCTATGATGGTACCAATCCCGACCTTAACACATCGAATCACAAATTAAATCTATCTAACATACTTAAAATTCCAATCCTAGAAAATCTCTCAAATAATATAAATAAACATAAATAAGTATACAATAAATATATAAGTGCTCACATGGTCATCTATCAGCATAGGAAGTAGATCCATGATAATCTCCCTACGGTTCAATCCCAAAGCCTCTAGTGTCCTGACTGCAGTCATCCGAATCCCAGCCACCGGATGCTTTAGCTGCTCCCTTAGCTTATCTATAAGCTGGTCCAGAAGCTCTGGGGCTAAATCCAGCTCACTGGAAAACAAGAGCAAGCCTTAGTAAAATGTCACCACATTGAGGGTTATTACCTTTACAAATCTTGTTAATGAAAGTGTGACAATATGTTACAGATTTATTTCTTTACTGTTGGTAAGAAACAAAATTTGTTACAGATGCCAGCTGGAAACAAAAAAAAACAGTGGCTAGAACAGTGTCACAATTATTTTTGGTGGTACTTGTTGAATGCTTTCATACTCCCATTATAATGGTGATTGACTTACTTCTTCAATCGTGGAATATATGAGCAGAGTTGCTTATGTTGGGGCACACCCACATTGTCCATGATTCCTATAAATGCCTCAGTGACACCCTTTGTGGTGGGTTCAGCTCCCTTGGGGAACCAGGGCTGCTCTATGATCTCTTGGATTAGCTCTGGTATATCCTCATATTCAGGAAGATGATCTTCCTCTTCCTTATCAGGCTGCTAAGATGAAGAACAATTTTCTTGAGTATTCAATTATGAATAACTAATTTGATGATTCTAGACTAGGTGGAAAATGAGGTAATACTCACAAATATTTGACCAATTACAGATTCCAACAGACCTGATGAAGAATCTCAGTCAAATACACTGTATACTGCAACCACCAACTGACTGATGCTAATGATATACTTAGTGAAATCAATGCTAATGATAGTGTGAATATTGGTGTAGCTTATAACAAGGCTCAAGAATATTTACCTCTTCCTCTTCTTCTTCCTCTGCTATGCCAGCTACTGGTCTTGTCCTTGGAGCTTTAGGACCTTTTCCACCAGGTGGCGCCTTCTTACCCACACCTGTTTTCTTTACTCGACTGAAGTCCATGTCAATTTTCTTCACATCTCTTTTCGCAATTTTAATTTGATCTACAATTAAGTAGTTAAAGACCATTGAAGGTTTAATTCACACTTGACTGATTTAATGAAAATGGGTATCTTTTCTTCTCTCCAATTCTAATATAGTGTAGATCTGTCAATGATAGAAAGTTACAAACATGTAAATATTTTGAATCTATGTAAATATAGTTCTCAAAGTGTGTTCATACAATGAAATTAAACAGGAGTCAAACATAGAGTCAACATAATATTAAACTTTTTAGTTGCTACATGCACCATACCACATTACAGATAGTACAGATCTGAGTGACACTCAGTGTATGCAGTCATTTGTCAGTTGTACTCTACAGTGAAGGAATTAATTACAAACAACAGTTAATTAATATGTGGATTAAAACAACAGCCAGTTAATTAATAAAACACAATGATATTAGCTAGAGGCCATTACTTCGAAACAATAAGCAACATTGTAGATTAAATCTGTAGATTAGATTTATATTACTGTATTAAATCAATCAATTATGTTATATCTTTCAGGATGTCTTATAAACTAACCACACTTTGTTATGGGATCAATCACTAAACTCATATCAAAATATTCTTGTTGGAGATTAGCCTGATTCTCAAAAATATTGTGAACTACTTATAGCAATCTATGATTTTGAGAAACTGGGTCCTGTTAAAACAATGTATTATGCATTCAAACAAAATCAAAGTCACTAATTTTGCCAACCTGTTTTCCACGTTATATATGGTTTCACCAACTCTGTTCAAAAGAAATGTTATAATTTATACACAACTGATCATAATAATGTATACATATTGTAAAATAATCATGTATTGTCAATTTTTACACATGTAACTTTATAGAATTATTCTCATTTAAAATAAACATCATAACATTTAGACAAATCTTGAATGTGATTCCAAAAGGTACTATTAATATAAGAACATTGTTAGCAAAAATGAAAGGGGGAAGACAATAAGATTGTATGTAAGATGCATTTACTGGATATATCATAAATGTCACCTTCATTTTATTCAAATCTATATTTTATGCACCTAGAATTGTACCCAACTGGAATAAATATTTAGACAATACAAATGCACAAATGATTGTAACTTATTCAATTGTTTCACAAAGCAAAGCCAATCATATACAGTAATACTTCAAAATCACAAATTTCCAATCAACTGCAAACAACAACTCATCATATTCACACTTGAGCTTTTCCACCTGAAAAGAATATTTTGTTAGTTCAAAAAAACTAATTAAATTCTTGCAGACACTAAGATTGAAACTAAATCCTGACTCCCCTTGCAGTGATTCCAGTTAGCTAAATTTTAAAAGATAACTATGTCTACGTTTAAAAGAAACCACCAAACTCACCAAACCAACAAGAGCTTGTCGGGGCACTCTGGATACAGTACAAGATAATCAACAAATCATTATACACTCAATTTTTCATGAAAGCAATATCAAATGTATGACTGTAAACAATTCAGCTAAATATCATACACTATGCACACCATAAACAAAGCAAATACATTCACATATAGAATGACACAATGTCCAAAGACCTACCCTTAACACGCTTCACTACTTCTGCAAACAACAACAATGGGAAACAATGACAGTCAAATCTCATTTTACATTTAGTGCAAGTGACAAAATATCTCTGTGTATTCAAAAAATGGTCATTGAAACTATTGGAGGAAAAGTATCTAAAATTGCCATTTCAGATTGACTTTTCTCAACTTATGAAGATATTTTTTCAAGGAATTTTGGGTAGAAACTAATGCAATATCTGAAATAAATAAAAGTTTAAAAAAATCTATTATTAAAAGCAAGAGAAAAATAATCATAAATTGACAACATCGCGAATAAAATAATCATATTACATCATATAAATCATATAGTGCCTTATATAATAGTGAAATACATGTACATATTTCAATACAAACAACAGCAATACTACACTCAAGTGTGGGTACTGTCAAGCCACAAATAGTATCTAAGGGTGATCAAGAGTGAATGGTGTGTCTAAACTGCATGCAGCTCTACAACATCCTACAAAAGAAAACATTCAAATAACAATAGAGAAGTACCATCATCATCATTATCTAAGTCAGCAGTGTAATTTTCAATTGTCTCATCATCTTGGACATTCTCATCACCAGATCCTTCTTCATATGCTTCCTCATCTCCAGAACTTAGTGCACTAGTTTCACCTGAAACATTGTCAATTCCCATGATACAATAGAGGAGCGAGATACACCTGAATGAAGGCGGACTCCAATTATGCAATAGATAAATTATACATACCTGAAGAGAGTCAAACTACATGGTGCCATATACGAACTAGAGACAGTCCATGAAAAAAGTCAGCTCTCAAGTACTTAGCATTTAACACAAAGATTATAACCAGCTATGCAGATGCATAAGATATGGCTACAAAAATTAAAAGTCCTTATACTCACTTTTGAGATTTCTTGGTTTGGACATTTCAGTTTCAACTTCAGCCTCTTCATCCTTTTCTAAAACATGGGAGGAGGCACTTGTTTCTCTTGGCGTAGGAACTTCTATTTCCTCTTCATCATCAACAGTGTCCCACAACAAGGGTTCATGTAAGGATTCCTGGAAAAATGTGAAAACAAACAATGTAATTTTTACAAGCATAGTCATTGGGCCACATTGCTCATGTTATTTTATACTTAGAGAAAAAACAACATAATCAGCATCTAAGTTACATTCAAATAATGAAACAAAGGACTTATCGACTTTATAATGTAATAATTATGTATTAAATAACTATTATATACTCAACTACAAAATATACTAGAGGCGATCCAAAACTCTTTCAAGTCAGAATTAGATGCTGAGGCTTTAGGTCATAACATATTTATATACACCTTCCGTCCTTCCCTGAAAAGTTCAAATGCAGAAGTGTTTTTGGATCACCCCTGTACAGTAGATATAGACAATATAGTAATCATAACAATCAAAAGATCAAATGCCATGCAATATGAAAAAAATGACATACATTTTAAAATATTAGTACATGTATCTCGAAAATTCAAAATATGGAAATCGTCTCTGTGCATCTACAATCGATGTTAAATAATTCCAAGAGAAGAGAAGAAAATCATCATATACACAAAGCAAACATGCATGATCTACTTTATATGTAAGTAGACTTCATACACAGAGCAGCTCATATATCTAGAAGACCACTTTACCACAGTATAAAGATGAAGCTGAAGTTATAAATGAAACTCCTGTTGATCTCCTGATAGCTAATGACAGACTAGATGTTAAGGTCTTTCAGATAATGATACACATACACTCCATGTATACAGTTTACATTAATTGAAATGCCTGAGGAACATAACTTACTTTTAGGAAAATATGAATATTAAAGGTTACTGATTAGAAGATGAGAGATGGGGAGGTGTGGACCATTATTCTGAGACCTTAACAGACAGTCTATTGTACAGTAAAACCTGTCCCTGGTAAACACCATTGCTCATATAAAGTCTCTGTATAAAAGCTGAGTCTCTGTAGTAGACACCAACAGTGAACACTTTTTGTGCCTCTAACAGTGTTTACCATATACAGGATTTACTATATTTTGATAATTATGTTATTAAAAAAGCAAGTTGTTCAAGAAAATAGTCATCCCAATTCCCAGTTATTCAATGTTAAGTAAAATTGAAAAAGATCATTCCAACCACATGCTTTCAATACAATATCTAAAAATAAAACACAACTACATATCTACTTCTTCATAAAAGAACAATCTATTTGTACTATAAAAACAAAGCGTAATTGTTAGTACAATAAAAAACAATGCATTAGTACAATAACGATAGTTCATTAGTACAATAAATCAGTCAGTTAAAACAGTCGTGCTACCTGCTTTGGTTCGACATACACCAAACTAACAGCTGTGATTGGTTCGTTTATATTAGATTCGGTGCTGGAGTTAGATTTTGCTGAGCCAGTTAGGCGAACATTTTTCCGTCGTGTTGTCTGCAATATTTATTAATTTATCTACAGCTGTGTTATAACAAACATGAATTTTTAAGGTGCTGAAAAGTACAATTATTTTAACTTGTTGATCACACAATGGTCCAGGTGCTTTCAACTTCCTACTGGGTCATATTATATATAAATTATTTGATTAAATTAAAATAGATGTCAGTGTGCAAACATAGTGTCCAAAACATACAGATGAACAAGTATGTGTATTGGTGATATGTCACAGAATAAAATGGCATGAACAAAACAAGGTCATTGTATAGGGCTTACAAGCAAGTGAATTTTACTTGTGCAGTAGTGATCAAAACAGGGTTAGAATCAAATAGAGTCAATTGCCATATTTAAAAACCTAAAGACATGGGACTTGGCCATATTGCAATTTGGACACAAACAAAGTCTGCAATACTAATGAACGACTATGAGTTTTCTCCATCTAGAAAGACCATGGCAATATAAATTGAAATCTAAAATGGGATGGGGTCTTCATACTTTTTATAGATGATCAGCATTGTTTTGATCAGGTAAGGAAATATCTTCAGAATGACTTAATAACTTGCAATACAATTAAATACATGTAACTATATAGAAAGAGATATTTCTAAGATAAAATTAAACATACTGCAAAATAGTTTATCCTATATCAAATGTCAGATACTGTTGGCCCCAATTTCATGTAAACAGTTACTGACAAACTTCTAAAGATGTACAGTAGGATGAATATTTTGCAGTCAGTTTTATCTGAAAAAATGTTTATGACGGATAAACCTTTTTGATAGGATTGAAAAAGATTGTTAAAAAGATGGATATTAGTCAACACAATCCAAGTGTATTATCTAAAAGAAGATTTAATTGGAGACAGAAGAGATCAACACAACCAGATTATAATTTGAAAGAAAGATTTGAGTTAGAAAATAGATGAAATGGGATAAGTCAGAAGAATACAATCACAAAGTACAGAAGTCATAGTCAAAAAGTCAGAAAGTAGATGTACATTAAGTCATATAGTCCGACCACCAAAATACAATTAGCCCATAACTAAACAAAGAAAGAAAGAGTTAGGAGACAGGGGGGGTTACATAAACAGGTTCTACAGCAAGACAGGCAACACATCAGCTCATCATACCTCTTGTTCCTTCTTGGACAAGGTTGTTGGTAACAGGTTAACATTATTCGGCTGGAGGGGTGCCAGGAGACCCCCATTAGCATACTGAAGCACCTTATTGGCACCAAGAGTTTTAGCCACAAAAGAACTCTGTGAAATAATTGATTTGAAATGTTAACATCTACAGTATATGAAATAAACATGCAAATATAAGCAGTGTCTAAGTGCTAAAATACTAACTATTACTTTATAAATACAAGTACATATACATGCTTTTTAATTTGCTATCTCAGATTTCTACCTTTTTAATTTTATTTAAATTTGAGAGAAGGATTAGAAATTGCATCATTATTTAATGTGAACACCTGTTATGTGAACAGCTTTTCTTAGGGGACACTTTTGAAAGACTTATTTTATTCCATTACTGATAATTCCAAACATATTGTTAAATGTGAACACTTATGCAGCCAAATGTTCGAATGTTCGTATATAGAACAGATTTCCCTGCATGGAGTTTAGATACATTATATCAGTTTATTTAGAGTAGGCCTGTAATAACAGTTCAATGTTTTTTACTATTAATGAGTAGCAGACACGAAAGCCGTGCAACCAGACAATAGCTTCCTGCCTACACAGGCTTCTATCATAAAATGAAAATAGACTCATTTGATGAAATCACATAAATATTTACCAAACTAAATATTCACTATGAAAATGATTTATAATTCTAATATTTTCAAAAGTTGAATGAATCTCAAGATTTGCTTTTGATTTTATACAATTTTTAAAATATTAACTTAATTTACTTAAGCTCAAATCTTTACTATTTTTTTTACTGGTGTATTTAACCATGAAAGCATGTATAATGTCCTGTACATACATACAGATATGAAATCAATTAATTACTGAATAAAGTCTGATTATCTCCTATAGATCCATTGCATCAATAATTAATTCATTCCTGAACATCATTTCATACATAACACAAGAGGCCCTTATATCCCATGAGGCTACAGTTCAGTTAATGTGCAATGTTTGATCAAAAGGTTGGGTATTACTCGAGTCTCTAGCTTACAGCTAGACGAAACTTCATTGATTTCGTATGTACTGTGCTACACGCACCTACACGCACCTAGAACTCATTTTTAATAAATTTTATAAATATTTTTAAGAATATTAATCATATTTAGGATGAAGCGTTGCTTGTCTGGATTTAGATATTTCAAAATTTCATTTCGGAGTTTTGACACATGGTGAAATTTTCTCGCTGTAGCTAAAAATGGCTTCCGGTTCTGGACGTGAATAACATTTGAAATTATTCTCGCTTAAAGAAATCAAATATAACAATAGATTCAGACGCGGATGTGAGCTGATGTTCTTCAAATCTATACATAAAGGTATATTTCATATTATTATGCCATATTTACTGTGCGTGTGACACAATGATTTACAATATTTATAATACTAAGGCAGCTCAATCTTCCTCCTCAAAGCCGGAATATAGAGAAGGCTTTGGACCGAAGTAAGTTGGGTACACCTCTTGTGCTATTGTAACAATGGATGCCAAAAATGAAGCAAAAATATGATAAAAAAAATAACATGTTCTTTTACTAATTATACAAAGAAAAGAAATATAAATTATCAAATGTTCTGTTTTTAGTTCATATTGCACTACCTCAAGAATGCTTCATACTGAGGTGGCTTCTTTCAATAAGGCATTCCGATATCCTAATTGGAAGATTTCCTGAGGTTATGCAACATACAGTGTACATGTATATGCATGTACAGAAAATATTAGTCCAGGAAGAATATTGTTTCTGGTCATCAAGCTTTCAAAAGTTATAGATCCACCTGTAAGAGGTATATTATTGAAAATGTAAAATTCTGTTTCTGCCACCCACCCAGCAATGAGAAAAAATACAACTTCCTGTCCTAATTCATTTATATTGAAAAAAAAACTTATACAATTATGTTTTAGCTGAATATTTTGATTAAGGGTTACTTACTTGTGAAGAGATTTCACTATCAGCAAAGTGGACCTGATGTTTTGGGTTCTGTTGAGGAACCTAAAAAATATAATTCAAATGAAGAGCTAGATTAACCATATACCTTTAGCAAGTCTTTTTTGGAAAAGGACTTTTTTTGGGGGGGGACCTTTTGGTTGAGCTGGACAATATGTCATTTCATTTCATTGTCCATCAGCTTAAGAGGGTAGGATGGATACCTAAAACTGTAGTTACATTCACAAAATATTGACAATTTGTCAAACTTTGCATGTTATTTCACCAGGACAATGAAGAATACAGGTAGGCATGAAGAAACATCAGATGAATTGATTGCTTTAATGTCCTGATCAAGACTAATTCAACCCTTAATCTAAAATAAATATAAAGAACTACAATGGGGAAAAAATTAATTAAAATGCATTACTCTGAAGAATTAATCAATTTCTTTAAATCCCTGGATTATATTCATCAAATAAATATTTATTGTGTAATACAAACTTTGCATGTCTTTACCCAAAAGTAACTATTTCAGAGAATAACCCTTTGTCAAGTTAATTCCTCACAAAGTTCTCTATCATTCAAAGCTTGGTTTTCTACAGTTTCTATCTAGACACAGCTCCATGCCTGTAAGTTAATTTTCTTGATAATGTCACTAAATATCACAATATTTCATAGTTTTGTACGTCACCATGATGTTTTACTTTGCGTGTTATATTACAAATAGAGGCTACTAACCGGTTTTAGTTTCCAAGGTGCTTGTTCATGGATGATGTCAGGGGGAGGTTTAAAGTTCAACAAACTCCTAACTACAGAGTTGGGAATATAACCATCTGGTGCAATGGGATAAAACTTTTTTGGTTTTTCTTCAACTTTCTTCACCTCTTCCTTGACTATCTCTTCTTCTTTCCCTTTAGCATCATCTCCATCATCCTTAGCTTTTGTATCCATTTCAGTAACTGAGTCATTTTCAGCACTCACAGTTTCTTTTAATTCAACCATTCTCTCCTCCTTTTTGGTTGTCTGTATTTTTTCTGATTTATAACTATTATATTCTCTAGACAGAGATTTAGTTGATTTAACTTTAGGTTCACTTCTTGCTTTTGAAATTTTCCCAGTTGATCTACTCGGTTTAGGTTTGATTTTATCACTCAGAGATTTTGACTTTTTGACTCCAGATTCCAAAGTTGTTTGCTGAGCAGTCGAATCTGATGTTAAAGCTGAAATACAAGTAAAATCCTATCATTTGCTTTATTTTGTGCTCTTTCATAAATAGCCAGTGTATTATATTCTGATGCTATGTCGTGATATTATGTTTTGATGTCATATCATAAATATCCAGTGTATTGTATTTTGATGTTATATCATAAATTCATTTTCATACTGTTCTATCTCTTTTATAAAGACATCATGCTCATAACTTTTATTAATATAAAACAAAACAGTCAGGCTAACCATGAGCAAAGTCGCTAATCCTTTTATAAGAGTTCTCTGCGAACAATAAACAGTGAACAATACAACCAGGATAGAACAAGAGCGTGGGTAGCAAAACAATTTATAAACATTAACTAGAAAAACTGTGAACATAACATCCCCTTTGCCTGAGATTAATCAAGATATGTCAGGGTAGTGAATAATTAATAATCATTTTATATAACTCTGGAAGGAAACAAAATAACGCAAAGTGAAGGTTTTCAGAGTTAAAGTACGATTAGATTATTTATTTATTAATTTTCCATTGTTATGATTCAATTATTGTTTTCTGGATCCATAAATCAACCCTTTATCCCATCATGCAATTTTGTTGTTAGTTGCTCTTACCTGGAGTGATTTCCTCAGCAATTTGAGACAAGTCTCTTGATAACTGTGGGATATGTTCGGCTACTTCTTTTTCGACTGTTACATTGTCATCCGTCACATGCAGGCCATCACCCGCTGCAACGTGTTGGGCTTCCTTGGCTTTTGCTTCCTCTTCTAGTTTGCGAGTATTTAAACTTGCACTGCACTTTTGTATAGTACTTGCATCAAACCTGTAATGTTATTCAAGTTGGGGTTATTCCTAGGCAATTTTCCTGTAATTAATTATTCACCGCAATTTAACAAATCCAGCCTGTGTGCTTATATAAAAAAAAAATAACATAATTCTCTTTAGCTGAGATCTCTAGTATATATATGTGTTCATTGAATTCACATTTTCTGTAATCTGGGTAAGTTCAGTATTCTAGCATTATTGTCTGTCTCTAAGTCTCTTGACCTTATTGACACTGAAACAATTTGTATCAAGTTTGGTTCTAAAGTCAATCATTAACTATGTATTTATCACATTGGGTAATGTATGTATGCACACTGATAAAAACACACAATAAAAACGATTGATAATTTTAAGTATATAAACATGTTTTGCAGTATAACACCTAAATGCAGATACTCAAGATTTCAAACAAGCATTTTCTGTAAGTTCTGAAAGAGAAGAGAAGAAAGGGATGCAGTTTGAAGATGTGTATTGTGATTGCTCAAAACATTTTAAAACATGTATGTTAAGTGTTATCCTAAGTAGATAATATATGATATAAACTGTACACGAATGATGAGTTTGCTATAGTGATATGTAAATAAAAAGTAAATAGCAATTGATAAAATACATCTGTGGGAAAATATATTGTTGAGTAATAAATCTATAGATGGGGTGACCAACAAATACTCATTATAGCTAGAAACTATATTTAATTTAATTCTAAAAGAAATTCTGATTATTTTTAATGGGATAAATCTCATATACACCTATCTGTTATCTCATTAAAAGCAGAAAATATGCAATCAATTATTCTAAAGGAAGACCAATAATTCATGGAATTGTTATTAATGTTAAAAGTGTTTAGAAAATGGCAAGATAACACAGGAAAGCCATAAAGCTCTGACAACAGATCACTAAATGTGAAATAAAGCTCTGACAACAGATCACTAATGTGACATAAAGCATTCGTGTAAAACAGAAACCCAATAGCGATGTTAAAATCAGCAATGTTAGGTTACCAAAGCAAAGATCAGTTAAACAGAAATAAATGTCCACAATGTGTACATTAAAGATTATGCTAGAAATCTGAAATTGTATCAAGGAATTAATTATTTGAGACTGAACTTCTCCGCCTGAACTCAAACATTTCTCACATTTTGAAAGCAAGCCGCATTAACAATGAATATCAATGTTGTTTAGATTAATGCAAAGACAAACAATTTTGTAAATTGAACAATACAACCTGGTTATAAACACCCATGATATCAAAGCATATAAAGAAATTTCAATCATTTGCCCCATTGAAATCAAGTCCATATATAATATAATAAAGCACGCAAAAACTTGTTTATCACAAATCACTAAGCAACACAACGCACATGCAGAATGTTATGTAAAATGTGCATGACTTAATGTCAAATTGTTGAATCTTACTTTTCCTTCATCCTGTATGATAAATAGGGAAAATGAAATTATTATGTGATGTTTACATTTTAGTTAATGGATGATTTTGAACGTATACCCCATACTTACTGAGATTCTAGGTATCCATTTGAACCCTAAAAGGTGGGATGTATGTACCTAGAGCCTCAGTAGGTATGGAGTACTTCTGCTATCTACAGCTGATTTTGGATACAGACTGGGTTTATCCTGCGGGAATATGTATATCTCCCTCAAAACTGTGGTATATTTACCTCTAGTTACACCCTGTATCCAAAACCTCCTAGTACATGACACTTATATTTTATATCATATTTTTATATGATATATTACATATATTTTATTTTGCACATAATTGTCTTTTGTTTAAAAACAAATTAATATAACAAAATATGCTATACATAATAACTTATACCATATGAAAGAGCAGTATCATATTTCTAAAGACCAAACAAGTGAGTACAGCACATTTCCCTGACACAGGTGTCAACACTTGTAAGCTATCTTCAGTTGCTATAGAAACCAGGTGACTGTTCTAAATGCCAGGGGTGCTAGACAGTGAGTGTTTATAAAATCAATGCTGAATCTAATAACAGATATCAGTAGGAGAAAAATATCTAATGATAAATGATAAAATGATGACTGATTTGAGCAGATCATTCCATTATAGACATGTTATTGGTCTACTTCTACAATGGTCATGCTCAAGGGCATCAAATGATCATTTTATTATGAGTAAACTTGAAGTATCAAAGTGTCAAAGTGTATGGCAGCTTTTTAAAAAAAAGTTAATAAATAGTTGATGTATTATTCATTTATGAATTTTTTTAACATTATAATGCTCTCTTTACATTAAGGTATGTAGATGTCATCGTGATAAACCATGACATCTTATTTCTTCTCAGCTCTGAGCCCATGTTTCAGGTGAAACAGAAAGATGCTATGAGTATCAGAATGTGTAGATGTAAACATTTTGAAGATTAGCATCGTTCTTTTTTTGAAATCCATATTTATGGTAGTAACCTGCTAGTTAATTTGTGATCATTTGATCACCTAAGAGATTCATTTTGACAAAAATGGAAAACATTTTATTAATCACCAAGACACATGCATTTCGATCGATTATGCTTGAAATAAAATATATTGAAATCTTCATCATGATTTCGTAAAAGATTATCTATATTAACCTAATTATAAACAATATGAAGTGAAAGTAAACTTACCAAAGCTGCACATCATGGTCAAATGGTATAGGATCTTCTACAGGGTCCTCCTATAACATAGAACATACAGCATGTGAAAAGCTGTTTCACAAAAAGAACATCAAGAACTTAGAACAATCATGTTCATCTCTTGTTAAAAAAACAAAATGTGTTCCATCCATTCACCTATCTACTATGCCATCAACAAATTCAATATCATGATCCTATTTAATAAAATTTACTTAAAACAAGGACCAACTTTTTTTACACTGCCAACTAAACATTATTATAACGCCCATGATATAGTACTAACACTGCCTACCTGATGCACTTCTAATAACTAATATAATATCTATGTGTTTGTAAGATTATACTGTTCCATGCAATGTCATTAGCTTAGAGAAGGTCTGTATGAATTGCGATGGAAGAGACTGTAATATGTGTGATGGGGAAATCGCCATATGAATATCCGTTAGGAGAAAGTAATTGCCTTCTATATCATATAAATATTGGAAATGTTATAAACAATGATAAAAAGGAGATTTTATGAGATCTCCCTTCACAATAGGTTTCATCTACGAATCAAGCCAAAATACATGGTATGAATTTTTTTGTTTTGTTATTGTTTTTGAACAGATTTTCAGGTTTGACACACATTGTTCAAAATAGGCCAATCATTATTCCTGTCACTGGCTAACATTTCAATAATTTCTAACAGTAATTTGAAAAGTAATAAATTGCTTTCAAAATATGTTATTCTTTGCTACATGTTTTTTGTTATGATTTAGAGTGATGGAAACATTTACTTCATCCTTATTTTCTTTGGTCAGTCAATCCTGTATTATTTGAAAATTGTTCAATCATTAACTACTTAAAACAAATTACACTTTGCAGATAAAATCTTATCACTTTTATTCATGTTTATATTTACCTTGTATGATATGTCTAATTCCTTACGATATTATTGTAATAATTATCCTTATTTACTCAAGAACAAGTGTACCAGGTTTGTTATCTTGTTCCAACTCTTAGCAGACATGATACAACATTCAATACATTTTTTTTCTTTATAACTTTTGTTATATCCTTTTTATATGAAATAAATTAATTAGAAAAATCTAGTTGAGTTAAAGGTGCTGTAAATCCATCTTAATGTTTATGTCAGTTGTGAGAATCAAAATTATTGTCAAATAGATATCTAAATATTGCTAAATCATGAATTGCTCTGAAATAATGGTTGATGCCCCTTTCATGGTTCAAGTTCATTCATAGCTACAGCATTTGTTATAGCAACAAACTATCTAACATCCCTTTGATATTATCTTAAGCTCTTCCAAAAGTGCAAAATGACTTATATTATAAGCCTGTGAAGGGGTGATAGGTAATATTGTTTCAACATTGTCTATTTGTCTATTTGCTCAACGACTTTCACCAAACACTTGCATAGTTTTGAACATCATAATCATGCATGGACATTTCTTCAACTCCCATTTCCCCAAAATAATAGTCTTGCCGCAAGTCATGACCCCCCCCGGATATTTCCAAAATATTACAATTATTTAATCATTCAACTCTTCTACAATTTTGATATCACAATTATGTACTTGATGAAATGGAAATACAAACACATTTTCTAATCTATAATTCTAGTTAATTTCATAACCCCCTCCCCCTAATTTAGCATCATCAAATCCATATCATGAAATTATACTAAGCATTTGATTGGGACACACAGTACCATCCTAAACCCAAATACTGATGTCAAGCGCAAAAACTGTCTCAACTTATTAATAACAACACAAGTTACTCTCACTTCGAGATTGATAATCATTGCTATGGTTACTAATACCTCAAACTGCAAAGCACTAAAGAGTAAATTGGAAAATATTTGCCATGATTAAACAATTTAACACTACACCTAGAGAAGAATCTGAGCAACTGGAAAATCAGGAAAAATTTTTAAGTGCTTAATAGAGTTATTGATTTAATATCCAAAGTTCTATGTATCTCATGCATTGATACATAATACCTTTACCCAGAGATAAAATTTCACGAAGATTACAAGTTATAATACAATATAGATTTAAAATAAATGAATACTAGGCAAAGTTTTATAGACAATCCTGGAGTGAACAATCTAAATTTTAAAAAACACAGAAAATAGGTGAATTTGAAAATGATACATGAGAAATAGCCATTATCTGATAGCTATCTTTCTTGTGAGTAATTATCTAATAGTTAGGCTGTTGTATTGTACAATAGAGGTAGATTCCAGTTCTAGTTGCTTGGTTATAGCTATAATTGAATAATGATACATGCTATTCTAAGTAATTTTAGTAATTTCTTTCCACTTGTGTTCAATGTGGATAAAAATCATTAACTTAGCCATTCAAACTATTTGAAAGGTTAATGCACTTAATTGTCTACAATAATTGCCAAACTGTGATATTTGATTTATTAATCAAGGATTACAAGTAAAATGTAATTATTATATAAAAGTGCATGATTTATCCATTTAATAAGTAATTATTAGGTATGTATGAATACAGCCAAGTGGCTAATTTCAGAAATGTTAACATTCATTATTTTCAAATAAAAGTGCATGAAAGTTTCCTTTCCTGAAATTAACACTGGCCAGAAACAATGTTACGTTAATTTTTATGTTTATCAAGTTGTTTTTGACAAAAATCCAAAGGTTATCTTTTATGATTTCATCACTAGAACCATTTAGTGTTTTGTCACCTGCAAAGAATTATTTTTACCTCCTGCAGGGAATTAAAGGGCCAACTTGTCTGAACTAAGTTACTACTAGATTAGGTATGGCATTTTCCAAAGATAAAAATGCAGTCTGGAAAATGATCTAGACAGAACAATGATACCTTTATTCTAAGATTTGCATGTTGAGTTGCATTTTAGATTTGCTGTTTTTAATTTATAAAGGCTTCTAGAATTTGGATAGATCTGATTGAAGACATTATATCACATTTGAAAGCGAACAGCTAGTTTTACTCAAAGGACAATTTACAGTTTCACATATTTATTTTTGTCTTGCAATTTTCATATCATAAAACTGATTTCAGCTCAACAAATTCACAACTTTTTTCCACATGTTATTTTTTTATCATTCCAAAATTCAATGACATTTTGGCATTTAGTATGAGCTTCAATCTGACATTTCTTGCTGTTATAATGTGGAAAAGATGAAATTACAGCTATTGTCGTTTGACATCTAGCATAGGTGTTGTATGACATCTATGAACTAGATTATCGTAGATTGTTTATCAACAGTATGTGCCATGTGACACCTATAAACAGAACTATATGCTAAAGCCATGTAGTCATGTTTTGTGACACTTTCAAGTGACATCTTTAATAGATTGTTAGTCAGGTTCTGTGACATCTATAAACTAGATTGCTCTTTAATTGCATATATTGTATGACATCTAGATTGCTTATTAACAGTATATGTCATGTGACATCTATAAACAAAACTATTTGCTAAAAGCCATGAAGTCATGTCCTGTGACATCTATAGACAACATAATTTGATAAAAGCAATGTATGACATGACATCTATTCAAATTGATCTTTAGAACACATTCAAGTGACATCTATAACCAGATTGTCTGTTAGCCCTTGTAATCTGATAGGCATGTACTAGACTGTTGCAGGAAATTTTGAGAATGAAATTGTAGGGAAATGAAGTCTTACCGGAAAATCCATGAGCACCATCTTCTCCAATGCATCTATTGGTAGGTAGTTAGTCATAGGAACAACACTGAAACAAATATGTAGGAGGTTGTTAGCCACAGTTGACTGGATACAATGCTTAACATTGAAGGTATATATACATGCTCAGATTAATATTCATATTTTGAAATGTTTTAGGGTATTTTGAAATTTTTATACTGTATATGTGGTTCTCGTAACATGCACTTTTTAGGAGTCTATTTCTTCAGTATGTTAACCTGTTCTTTTCTTGTCTGTTTGGTATTACTTTTCTTTAAGGTTTCATTTTCGAATCTGTAAGTAAAGGGTCTATTTTCGCTCTACTAATTTCCCTTTCCCCAAGTACTCTTTGACAATACTCACTGAAGATGATTCTGGTATCCCACTAGTATATCACCCTGAGTGTTGATGAAACTTGCACCATTAAGTGTGTTGTCAAACTGCATTTCTCTCAATAGCTCACCCCTCCAGTTCCAAATCTGAATAAAAGTTATATTTATATATTCTATTAACTCTTAAATTGTTATGACATAATATAATAGTCCATGCAAAAGTCTGTCTATTTAACTATACTACACTTGAATGTGTGACACAATGCACTACGTTACACTAAACTACACTACAATATTATATACCCAGAGTGATTTGAGTAATTTGCATGCAGAGAGTGAACAAAATAATCAGTGTGATGCTCTCAGGAATTTTTATAGTAGCGTCTTCCAAGACTTTTTTTTAACAAAAGTAACATGGATTGATCATTGGCCAGTGTTTATCATCATTTTGTTTTCAGAAGAAAAATAAGTTTTTTTCATTGTATCATCCACCACTGGCTACAACATTGCTTGTATTGTCAGTAAGCAAAAAATGTCAATGAGTGCTGATCTTATTGCAAATGGTCAATGAAATGTTTGTAAACAATTACATAATATTGGTATTATCCCATGTGATTTCCCAAAGGCCCCATTACTTAAAAGCATTGCTGTACCAGAATTCCAACAACTCAAACATTAATAGGTTTTGTATGATGAAAGAGTACAACTAGCTAATTCTTACTCAGATCTGTCTCATTTCTAAATTCATCACTTGCTCTGTCAATATAGCCTATCTGGGGATATTTATGCATATTGGAAAGTGTCCACAAATCTTGCAAAACGATGTGAAATGCAAGGTCTGTTGAACATTGATTAACATATAAAATCCATTGAATTAATTTATACCAAGTTCAAGGAAATTGTCACAGGCCTGTTTAGTTTTGCACAAGGAGGTCAGAAGATTTATTATGGCACATCTTGGAAAAAAGTTAAGAATCGATTTTCTTAAAAGCTTACGATAACCCAAGGGGCAAGAAGAGATATTCTTAATAAATGAGGTACATTCACTTTGACAGCATTTTCCGTTAAAGGGATGTCTTTGCCAATTTTTCATATAAGTAATGATGAAATAAGGGATTTCAGATTTCCCAATTGACTCTTAAACACATTTCATATGATACAATACAGTAGTGGATATGGGAGGGGGGAGAGTTTCACCCCCCCCCTTTGGTGCCCCCCCCCCAAAAAAGAGGCTCAAAAAATATGAGGGGCCAAAATCTGTACCATGTTACCTTTAAGAGTCCATCCTGACTTGAAGTAGCAAATATTCTGTTGTTGGCACATACTGAGAGCCCATTAATATCAGCGGAGTGGTCATCTTCCTTGGAGTGGTCAAGCAACATCACACCATCCCTTTCAGTCTTCCCATAAAGCTCATACATAAAGATAGTGCTGCTCTCTGAGTGGCTGAGAGCCAGGATATTTCCCAGCATGCATATGTATGTGGGGGTTCCTTGTAGAGAAATCTGAAAAAATTAAATATGAATATATAAAAATTAAACAATTAATCACAGTAAGTGAGCAGAGTTAATGTTCTTATCCACTGTTTTTAATACAAAATACATACCCTGGTTATAAGCAACTACAGTATATGACTATTAATTATTAACAACACATTCATTCAAGCAGGCCATTTTTCAAATGAAAGGACAACCTAAGGAGAAGTAAATGACCACTACTTTCTCTTTCAAAATGCCAAATGGTACGAGTCAATTTCAATTTTTTTAGTTTTCAATTAATTCAACTGCCTTGAGAAATACACTCAACTTGTGACATTTCAACCATACAAAACATGTTTGACATAAAAACTCCGCAAGCTGATAAATAATTCCTATGCAAGGGATGAAAAGATCCATTCCAATGTCCAGGGTGTTTAAATGGGTGTTGCATTAGATGGTAAGAACATATCATCTTCAGAATTATAGAAGATGACAAGTTTATCATGAAGAAGTTTTCATGGAAATTGCAGGTAATTTAGCCCCTTCTATCTCTATAATAGTTATTAATTCATCAATGTGTATTCTATTTAATTTCCCTCTACATTACCTTTCAAGTAATTAAGCTGATGAGGTAAAGGAAATCCTTTGACCTTGTATTATCAAATGATTGAGTGAAATCAAGCTTACATTTTGTATATTACATATATAATTCAATTTGTATCTTTAATTAATATGTTATTTGCTTGTAGATTCACCTAAAGTAAAATCAGCTTCATAGAATCTAGTATATATAGTGTAAATTGCATTTTGGGTTTTTATGTCACCACCAAAAGTGGTGACATAAAAACCAACTTTTTTGTGAATGATGTTTCACCTTTGGTCATTGGTGTTTGGCATTTGGTGGTTGGTGTTTGGTGGTTGATGTCTTTAACAAATGCCATGTTATGTCATCAAAATCTATTAGTTAATTTTAAAATGACAGGTTCAAGCCTTCATTTGCAGTAGCTACTTGGTCAATAAATGTAAGACTGTGTTAACACACTAACATTTACTTACTTATGCCTGGATCACATTTGCTCTGATTCATCGGCCAGTGCCTGGTTGATTGAGTATTAAGTTCTAAACGGAATACAATTTTGAACGAAATACTTAATCATACATGTCATATAGGCGCAAGTTGATGAATCGGATCAAATGTCACTCAGGCAAAAGTCTAAGTTAAGTAATGGTCACTTGGTCAAGTTCATTTGGTCTATCATCGATGATAGAGGTTGGAGTGATACCAATTAAAGTGTTGAAATCAAGGCAAAATCATAAAAATCACAGGCTTACCAATTTCAGTGGACAGAGAGATATTTGAGAAGTCTGTGACTGTCTTATCTCCCACACTTTCACTGAACAATCAGTGCTCCCTGACAGCAGCCTATCATACATACCTGAAACAGTATGATATAATGTGGTGTATAAGTGCTATTTTTCATTATTGGATGAAAACATTCAGGGAATAGGTATTTTATAAATATATATAAAAAATACTAAGTGATTTGTCCAAAATTCAGGTTGACAACAATGAAGAACTATATAGGCTGCCTAGCCGGGTGCATGTCTCAGTCAACATCAGAAAGTCATTTCTTGAACTGTATGTATTTACTGATCAGGTACTTGCAGGTGCCTTATTATACGCAAATGCATTCCTAGAAAAGTACTGTATTCCCAATAATATTTGACGCTATTATAATTTGAGGATATTAGTGACTATTCCAAAACTCCAAAGCTATTGGAATATCACAGCTATCTAGTGAAATTCCCAAAACTTGCAAAAAGCATGAAATATATTGTATGCCAAAATTACTGAGAGTACAGTATAGTGTATACCATGGCAATAAAGTCAATCAGATTCTAAAATAACCAATGGAGAATCAGCATTAAGCTTGCTTGATATTTGCTATTTAATCATGTCATGTTCTAATTCATATTTGTTTAAATATCTACAAGAGTTAATAATCCTCACAGTATAACTACACAATTTTTCTCTCCCCGTTTATCAATCATATCACCCCATTTTCATGTTCAAACCCGTTTAGTAAACATTTGTTTGCAAGACTTATTCCCAGGACTTATCTTCATAACCACAAACAATATTTACCCCCATTAAAATATAAACAAACAAGGCACAGACGTGAACAATATCGTACCTAAAACACAGCAGTGTGACAGTGAAGAATTTAGGACGGAAAATCCAAAATGGCCACCTTAAAATTTACCCAGAATGCCCAAAAACTAATCAGTTCTTAACTTTGATACGTAGAAACATCCCTGAAAATTTCAGATGAATCCATCAAATGGTTTCGATGGAAACCTGTAGACAAGTCTTGAAAGTGAAGATTTTAGGACGGAAAATCCAAAATGGCCACCTTAAAATTAACCCAGAATGCCCAAAAACTAATCAGTTGTTAACTTTGATATGTAGAAACATCCCTGTAAATTTCAAATGAATCCGTCACATGGTTTGGCTGGAAACCTGTAGACAAGTCTTGAAAGTGAAGATTTTAGGACGGAAAATCCAAAATGGCCACCTTAAATTTTACCCAGAATGCCAAAAAACTAATCATTCCTTAACTTTGATACGTAGGAACATCCCTGAGAATTTCAGATGAATCCGTTAAATGGTTTGGCTGGAAACCTGTAGACAAGTCTTGAAAGTGAAGATTTTAGGACGGAAAATCCAAAATGGCCACCTTAAAATTTACCCAGAATGCCCAAAAACTAATCAGTTCTTAACTTTGATATGTAGACACATCCCTGTAAATTTCAAATGAATCCGTCAAATGGTTTGGCTGGAAACCTGTAGACAAGTCTTGAAAGTGAAGATTTTAGGACGGAAAATCCAAAATGGCCACCTTAAATTTTACCCAGAATGCCAAAAAACTAATCAGTTCTTTACTTTGATACGTAGAAACCCCTGAAAATTTCAGATGAATCCGTCAAATGGTTTGGCTGGAAACCTGTAGACAAGTCTTGAAAGTGAAGATTTTAGGACGGAAAATCCAAAATGGCCACCTTAAAATTTACCCAGAATGCCCAAAAACTAATCAGTTCTTAACTTTGATACGTAGAAACATTCCTGAAAATTTCAGATGAATCCGTCAAATGGTTTGGCTGGAAACCTGTAGACAAGTCTTGAAAGTGAAGATTTTAGTACGGAAAATCCAAAATGGCCACCTTAAAATTTACCCAGAATGCCCAAAAACTAATCAGTTCTTAACTTCGATATGTAGAAACATTCCTGAAAATTTCAGATGAATCCGTCATATGGTTTGGCTGGAAACCTGTAGACAAGTCTTGAAAGTGAAGATTTTAGGACGGAAAATCCAAAATGGCCACCTTAAGATTTACCCAGAATGCCCAAAAACTAATCAGTTCTTGACGTTGATAAGTAGAAACATTCCTGAAAATTTCAGATGAATCTGTCAAATGGTTTGGCTGGAAACCTGTAGACAAGCTGAAAAGTGAGACGCCGCCCGCCCGCCCGCCCGCCCGCCCGTCAAGCTGACAACAATATCGTACCTTTATTAGGTACGATAAAAACTTTACATATTACTCGTAACTTTGTTCACAGTTTACAGAAGGCATGAATTTAACAGTAATGTTAAAATGATAAATAACCTTTCCAATAAAACTTGAGAGGATAATCTAATATCACATAAATAACACAAAACATGAAGTGTAGAAAGGCTTCATTATTACAATAACAGCTAATATATTGCTTACTGATGTATTGTCTCATTTTTCCAATAATGTTGGTGCAAATTGTCAGGTTATTGCCTTGAAACTTTGAATCAAATGTGGTCATGAATTCCCTCTTATTCAAATGTCAATTTTGTAGATTGATCATTGAATTCATAGAAAAGACATCTTAAACCTCAAGTCATTAAATGAATACCTGATACATTTGTCCTACTTCTAAACCTGATATAAAAAGGTTCAACTAGAAAAACAGCAGCTCCAAGAAGCAGCAAATCCCACCAAACAAAACATATTTTGATCAATAACCTCCATCTTGAAAATTTTTTTCTCCTTTGTCCCAGGGTATCAGTATATAAAATTTAAACCAAATCCGTCTACTAGAATAGTATTTGAGTTATCAAAATAATATCAAAGATTACATTTTTAACGAAAAATGGCAGCAATTTTGAAATTCAGCTGCCATCTTGAAAAGTCCTTCTTGACCAGAGCTAATGTTTGTCCAAAGGCATCCACATATAAGATCTTAACCATATCCATCCACTGGTATTTGAGTTATCAAAGGTTACGTTTTTTACGAAAATAGAGGCCATTTTGAAATCCAGTGGCCATCTTGAAAATGTCCTCTTTAGCAAAGCTCCTTTGTCTCTTAGCAGACATGTGAAATTTAAACCAAATCCATCCACTGGTATTGAGTTATCAAAGATTACATTTTCTTGGAAAAATGGCAGTCAATTAGAAAATCTATGGCCATCATGCATGTCTTGAAAATCACTTCTTGAGCATAAACCCATTTGTCCCCAGGAATGATCATATAATATTTGAACCAAATCCATAAACTGGTATTTGATTAATAATACAATAAAAAATGGTGGTCATTTTAAATCTTGGTGGCCATCTTCAAAATCTCTTCTTGAAGGAAGCCCCTTTGTCACAAGGCATCAGCATATAAAATCTGAATTAAACCCATCCACTGGTATTTGAGTTATCAAGGATTTTGTTTTTACAAAAAATGTCAGCCATTTTGAAAATCTCTTCTTGAGCAAAGTCCCTTGTCCCAAGGCAAATCCATCACCTAGTATTTGAGTTATCTGAACAAATGGACAGACAGACCAATTGACGGACAGATGGATTGCTTCTCTATATCCCCTGTGAACTTCGTTAGGTGGGATAATTACGTGGTTAGTCAATAATTATCAATCAAATGAAAATTATCAAAGAGAGATGACTAGGATTTTAATAAAGATTTATATCTGGTTATAAAGTTATAATTTATCCCATGGGTGAAGACAGCATGACTTATAATGTCATCTTTCATCATCCCATGTGGTTAATGTCAATTGCCTTATAATCTGTGAGTTAACATGTTGGGAAGTGATGTGGCATGATAGAGACAATACATGGTGTCACAAAAGTAGGGAGTGATGCATTATTCAATAGAATGTACTATTCACTACATGTAAGATTCAAATCAACTGATCATTGTGCTTCAAGCATTACTTTTTTGTAACCTTATAAAGCTAAAGCCATATTCATCCCAAGCATCTCTTAACCCTTTAGCGCCAAGAATTATTTCAGAATTTTCTGAAATTTTCCAAAAGGACGATTCTCGGTTTGGAGAACAGTCTCCTGGGCTAATAATTATTTTCATGAAAAATATAGAAATATTACCCAAATTAAACTATGAATATTCAAAAGAGGACATTTAAATCTACAAAATGTAAAAATAACAAATCGGTCTGAAGCAGGGATAACGCTCAATTTGACCGATTCAATAAAATACAAGTCTCGATTTGGGGAAAGAAGTTCATCAGTGTACTGCGCTAATATTTTTTTGCGAAAAATCTAGAAATATTACCCAAATTAAATTATGACTATTCAAAAGAAGACATTCAAATCTATATTATGTAAAAAAATCAAATTTGTCCGAAGCAGGGATAATGCTCATTTAGATTGATGAACTCCGTTCTCCAAACCGAGAATCGTCCTTTGATGGTTACCGATTTCAAATAACTTCAAGCCCGTACCCCCATAAAAGTATCTTTTTTGAAAGCTTACATGATGAACTATCATTTAGAACCATATTTGTACAGTTAAAGGGTTTTATAAGAGTATATGACATGTTCAAACATGGAAAAATAAAAAAAAATTATCGCAAGATTATCTCGAAAACAAGATACACCATCAATACCTTTTTGGGTCTTCTTGTTCCCTCTTATAAGCATATATTCTTAGTAATAGTGAAAAAATAAAGTGAAAAAATAAATATTACTTCATAACAGTCCAGGACCACGCCCCCTAGATTGCCCAAGCACCCTACATGTAGATCGCCCACATACTATAGATCGCCCACATACTATAGATCGCCCACGACTTGTAGATGGCCTAGGTGGCTGCTGAGGTTCAAAATCACTGTCGAGAGGTAATATATCATATAAATATGAAAATGTGTCACTAAAACATCAGATACATTACTCATAAGTAGTTTTAGGCATGGAAACCTGTCATTTTGTGCTAACCTGGCATTTTACAAGCAACTAATTAGAGTCCCCAAGAGACCGCGCCAAATGGTTAAAGGCCCCATGGAAAGTTTGAAAATATGTTTTTATCATTCATTTATTTATTCATTTATTTTTTAATGTCTAAAACTTATTTAAGTCCACTCGTATAGCTCAGCGGTAGTGCATGAACC